AATCTTAGCTCACGTGTAAATTTAGCCAGGTGCATTAATCACCCGTTTGCACACCGCCTTCCTCTTGTGATTGCAACACTTTCTGGCTTGCCCCGCCAAGTGAGTCAAGTAGCAACTAAGGAACCTGGCCCAGCATTGCCCTGTTACGGGCTTTGTCCCAGCGTGATCCCATCGGATCTCCGTCGCTACAGACCAGAATCATGGTCGTGAGACCTAAAATCCTCGAGAACATCATCCATCCATACGATATCTAACGCCTCAGTTTGCTACCACCCTACAAAGGAGCAGCAATCGCGCTTCGTCAGCGGAATATTCGAGAGCCTAGCCAACCTCAACTATCCCCGCGAGTTCACGTCAAGGAACGAGTAATTGGATTCTTCCTGGCCATTCAACTCGAGTCCCTCGTTCCGTTTTGAGCTCCTGTCTGATATTATCATGAATCTGTCGAGTGCCAGCTCGGGCAAGTCCCTCGCAGCCACCTCAAATTATCCTACTCAAGCTGGTCCCGATCGCCCCGCTCCGGCTCCCGACTTTTCGCGTCGTCCAGGTCCGTCCTCATCTGCCGTGGCCGCCGCGCAATCCACACCACGAAAAGGTCAAGGATCTCGCAAGCAGCATCGAAATCAGAGGCGCCCAGCCGGAGATCGCATGGCTCACTGCCCGCTGGATAGGGACGACACATTCGCCGAGATGCGCGCTGTTCGGAACCCTTCTAGCCGCCGAGGACAGACTTCCATCACGCATTTATTGGACTATACGGCCCCACGTTCTGTTCAGGATCATAACTTTCATCCACGACCCCATCGTCGTCATCCTACATCGGGTCTTGGCTCAGGCTATCATACTGTTGACAAGGCGCGATATGTTCATGCCAATTATCGCTTTGTCGTTCGACCAGAGGTGTCGTATAAGGGCCAGGCCGCTGATGCTGACATGTACATTGACTGGGCAAATGTTTTGCAGGTCATTGCCTCATCAGAATCGCAAACTGCTTTGTGCCCTATCTGCCTCTCCGAGCCTGTGGCTCCCCGGATGGCTCGCTGCGGCCATATTTTTTGCCTACCTTGTATGATTCGTTTCATGACCACGACTGAGGACGAAGCCAGATATGGAAAAGTCGCAAAGTGGAAGAAATGTCCGCTTTGCGAAGACAGCGTGTATATGCAGGAGGTGCGACCTGTGCGTTTCTATTCCGGACAAGAGTGTTCTCTTCCACGGCCCGGCGACGATGTTGTGCTTCGCCTCATGGCACGTAAAGCAAATTCAACACTGGCAATTCCCAGAGAAGGGGGCACCGAAGTCATCAACTCTAGCGATGATGTGCCATGGCATTTTGCTGCCAACGTTCTTGACTACGCCCGAATCATGAAAGGAACGAAGGAATATATGACCGAACAGTATGAAGAGGAAGTTGCTGCCCTTTTGAAACAAGAAAAAGAAGATAAAGATCTCTTCGGCCAAGATGGAGAGTGGACGCAGCGTGCTATCAAAGCTGTCAAATCTTTACAGGAACGCATTGACGATCTTACCGACGTCGCCGCAGCCACCTTGTCAACGAATAGAACCTCGGGAAAGCCAATTTTGGACTCGGACTTCTACTTTTACAGCACTCCCCCGCACCTGTATCTCTCGCCTTTGGACATTCGCATCCTCAAGACCAAGTATGGGTCTTTTTCCTCCTTTCCGTCCTCGCTACTCCCGACCGTCGAGCATATTTCGACTGGCCATCTGGTTGATGATGCTCTACGAAAGCGAGCCAAGTACTTGAGTCACCTTCCTCACGGATGCGTCATTAGCTTCTTGGAGTGTGACTGGACTGACATTGTCCCAGAGGAAACGCTTTCGACCTTTGCGTCGGAGATTGCTAAACGTCGCAAGCGCAACGCAGACAAGGCTGCACAAGAAGAACGCGAGCGACTTGATGCTGAACGTATAGAGGCTGCTGCTTTGCACAATTCTGCTGGATTTCCTGTACCGCATCGGGGTATAGAAGCAGATAAACCACCGCTTATGGATTTGTCGGAATTCCAGCCTTTGAATGGCGCATCCAGTACTACGCCACGGGAAGCCCGTCTTGGCTTCGACACTCTGGCCTCCATGTCAACTAGCCCGACCGGAGAGAGGACCATTTGGGGCACAGTCGCAGTGGCCGCTTCTCCAGAAATGAGTGCTACGCATGTGGAGCCCAGAGATGACGGCTGGCTCAACGAGTCCGAGCTTCTTTCCGAGGCCGATCTTGCTACGCAGCTGGATGCTATTCATATGGCCGAACAAGAGGGAGGAAGTAAGCGTGAGGTTCACGGCGGCTCTACAGGAGGTGGCAAGAAGAAGAAGAAACAAAAAATAACTCTCATGAGTACTGGTGGCCGTAGAGGCCTCTAGACACGTGTAACACCTACTTTTGGGTCGGGGAGTCTGTATTAGGCATGTGTGGCGTTTATTGTTTTGGGACGTAGTTGTTTTACCGATTTATATAACTGATACAGATTTGCCAGCGCTGAACAACATCTGACTTCTACAGCGATAGACTTCCATTTGAATTGAATTTTTTTTCGCCTTCTGCGTTTCTCGGTTCTTTCGTAGTTTTCCATATCGAGAATTTTGAAGCAAAGTTCGGGTATTGATTTCAGCACGCGAGAACTGCGCTCAAGGTGCTGCTTTGCTGAGCGGCCCATCGGCGTTTGTAGCGCCGACGAATAGTGGGGAGGTCCCTCGATTTCCAAAAATTTTTGTCCCTTCACAAGTCCAATTCCCGATACGCAATCTTTGCAGAGCATGGCAGCCGATAGTTCATCATCACTGACCTCGACGTCGCACACATTAACGGCCGGATCAAACATGGAAGCGGATGCGCTCTCTGCCAACCGAGCCGCCATTGCGCTGTTGCAAAGTTTGCAGCCCGAAAACCGCCATGTCTTCCTGCAGCCGACGACGGAACTGTCCACTGAATCGCTCAATCTAGTGCGAGACACTTTAGAAGCCTTCGCCGTGCAGGTTGGCGATGAGCAGCGGAGTCGACTAAAGGAATCGAGAAAACGAAAGCGCGGCGGCGAAAAGGAAGATGTTCTCAAGCTGCGGAAAATCTACATCGACGGCTTTCAGACAAACCAGGTCTGGCAGCAGGCCAAGAAGGTTATCGGCGGTGTCTTACAATTCTCAGAGACACTTCTAAGTGAGATGGAAAAGAAGAGTGAGATTCATCTCGTCGATGGTGACATTACTGGAGAAGTTTCGGCATCTAAGGCAGACGAGGAGGAGGACGGGAGCAACTTGGACACCGAATCGTCCAAAGAGGACGAAGATGCTGGGGAACTTGACTCTGGCGTGGAGCTCGAGGAGCCAGAACTTGCCGAAGGTGCCGACCAGCTCTCTGACATTGACGAGGAGCCTCTCAGCATTCAGTTGGAGGAGGAAGATGAGGAGGATGCCGAAGAATCTGGCGTCGACGACGATTGCGAACCCTTTGTGGAAGACCCCGATGGCCTCAATGACGGCTTTTTCTCTCTGGACGATTTTAACAAGCAGACACAATGGTTCGAAGAGCAAGATATTCGCGGCGATCCGAATACCGACATGGCCAGCGATGATGAGGAAGTAGACTGGAATGCGGACCCCAACGCTGTATCCCAAAAGTCGAAGGTCTCAAAGAGCAAACGGTCGAAAAAGAATACAGATGTTGACGACATGGCTGACGAGAAGGATGAAGAGGATGACGATGACGGTCCTACATTCGGCGACATGGCTTTGGACGCACCAGAAGGCGATAGTGACGACGAAGCCGCTGCTTTCGAAGATGGCTTCGATGATGTCGAGAATAACGCCAACGACGTATTTTACAAGGACTTCTTCGCGCCGCCACCGCGCAAAAGAGATCCGAAAAAGTCAAGAAAGTCAGCCCCGAAGGCTCGAGAGCCAACCGAACAAGATATGGAGCGGGCCATGGCCGATGTTCGCCGAGACCTTTTCGAAGACGAATCAGACATGGACAACACCGAGGATGCCCTTTCAGATGCCTCCGCCGGCGACCCAAAGTCTCGTCGATCAGCACATGAGCGCAGACAAGCGAAGCTGGCCGAAGAGATTCGAAAACTTGAAGCCGCCTCCGTAGCTAAGCGCGAATGGACTTTGTCCGGCGAAGCCAAGGCTCCGGAGCGCCCAACCAATTCGCTTCTCGAGCACGATCTCGACTTTGAATACGTTGGCAAGCCAGTACCCGTCATCACACCCGAAGTTAGCGAGAGCATAGAGGAGCTCATCAAGCGCCGAATCCTCTCAGAAGAATTCGACGAAGTTCTCAAGCGCCGCCTTGAGACCGAGACCCTACCCGCCGGAACGCGTCGCGGCCTCGTCGACGTTAAGGACAGCAAATCAGACAAGAGCCTCGCCCAGATCTACGAAGAAGAGCACATAAAGAATGCTGACCCTGACAACTACGTCAGCCAGTCCGATGAGAAGCTACAGCGCGAGGAGAAGGAGGTAGAAAGTATGTGGAAGGACGTCTCCGCCAAGCTCGACGCCCTCAGCAGCTGGCATTACAAGCCCAAGCCGACGGCGGTCTCGCTCTCGGTTGTGGCCGATGTGGCCACCATTGCTATGGAGGACGCGCAGCCAGCGACGGCGCAGGGCGTGGCCGGTGAGAGCAGCCGCATGGCACCACAGGAGGTTTACAAGGCTGGTGCCGATACAGCCGGCAAGGGCGAGTTGGTATCCAAGAGCGGCCTGCCCGTAGCTCGGCAGGAGATGTCGCGCGAGGATAAGGCGCGTCGCCGTCGGCAGCACAAGGAGCGCGTGCGCAAGGCCGGCAACGGCGGCGCGTCAGGCGGCTCGCGTGCGGGCGCGAGTAAAAAGGCCCAGACCATTGCCGACCTCAAAAAGGGCGGCGTCAGGGTCATCAACCGCAAAGGCGAGATCACGGACGTCGACGGCAACAGGATCAAGGCCGCCAAGGCCATGTCCAGTGGCAGTTTCAAGCTCTAAGCGATCAGCTGCTGTCATTCTACATATACCAGGCTCACTTGCTTGGTTTCTACGATCTTGTAATGGTTTTTTTCTTGGGTTTTATGTTAGTATTCTTCTACATCATAAGTGGCGCTCGGGGTCTGTCTGCATGGCAACAACTTCTTTCTACAGTAAATATCGATTACGATGCATACACACGTCAACAGTCAATATGTATTGTGAACTGTTCAATTGAATGTGATGAGAAAACGGGCCTAGCTAGAAAGCACAGGCTCCCAAAAACGAACAACTAACAAACTGGTCGTTGTAAATCTGAGAAGGAAGAGGATATCGTCCGATATCCACCAAGCAATCTCAGTCCGCCGTCCAGACGCCGCAAACTCCAGGTCCGAGAGAGAAAAGACCACCGGTCCCCACGTGGCGGTGTCATTGAGCCGCGTTTCGAACAAAGCAAACCAAAGCGATTTCGCCTCCGTGGTAATCCCGTCCATCTTTCATTATTGACACAGCTAGATATTAATACACTGCTTCAGTGAATATTACGCCTCCTCTTCGACTCGCGCCTTCTTTGGGGACTCGCCGCCAGCCTCGACAAGGTCATCCACGGCCTTGCGCTTGCCATTGACGGAGGATTCAGCGAGGACGGGAGCAGTATTCGACTCAGCTTCGGGCTTGGCCTTCTTGCGCACCATGCTCGTCAAGTCGACGGCGCCCTTGGTGGCTTCGGCAACACGCGCCTGCGTCTGCTCGGGGGTCTCACCGAGCACGGCGCCAAAGAGGCCGCCGAGAACATTAGCCTCAGTGGCGCCTAGAAGCTCCTGGGGGTCGATAGGGTTTTTGCGAAGGTCGACAAGCTATTGTCGGGTTAGCATTATGTGAGAAGACAAAATGAAGGCAGCGGGATGTCGTACTCTTTGCTCCATGTCGGCAATTAGCTCCTTCATCTCGACAACATCCTTGCGAAGAATTTCGTTATCGGAGGGAGAAGCGGAGGTAGCTATCTCTACTTCCTTGCTTTGCAGCTTAAGTCTGAAGCTCTTGATCGCTAAATCCATCTCCTTGACAGCCTCATCGCGAAGATCCTGATCAATTTCCTCGCGCTTGGAGTTGGCACCCTCATCACCAGAGCTGGTGATGGAGGCAAATTCAAGCGCAAGAGAGAGCTTGTAGTGAGCTTCGGCAATAACCTCCGACTCTGTGGGGTATAGCTCGAGCCTGTAGTTGAGAGCTACGCGACCGTCTTCAATGGCATTGGGATAGCTGTTGCCATTAGCGGTTTGGTACTACTACGCAGGTGAGGCCGCGCATACCGTTCATTCTCCAACGAGATCTCGGCAAGGGTGTCGTGCGTGTCAGCGAGGCGTTCCTTGACATGACGTTCAGCGGGAGACAGCTCGCCAGAGGTCCCTTTGCCCTTGTCGCCATCGGCGGTTTGCTCGAGCTGAGCAAGCTGCTTCATGTAACACACGCGCGCGAGGTCGAGAATCTCGAATGCAGTGGCGAGGTCATCTTCCTCCTCTTCAAATCCCTCGCCGCCCTATCGACATCCAAATTAGTCAGATGCGCATGTTTTTGTGTACTCAAGTCAAGCGTACCTCCTCGTCAGAGTCGTCAGAGCCAACGAGATTCTCGTCTCCGGTGAATTGGAACAGGGGTTTTTCGGCTTCGCTGTCCTTGCTCTTGGAGGCCTCGACGGACGTCTCTGTCGTAGCCTCACCCAGAGTGGGCAGTTTCGATGAACTTGCCTTGGGCGCAGCACTGCCATTTGCTTTGGACTTCTTGGACTCTCCAGCGGCCTGCCCACCCAGAACGTCGCTCTTGCTTTGGCCAACTCGGAACAGGCTGCGTCCGTAATGGAAGAGAATGTCGGCATTCTCGGGGGCGAGTTCGCCATTCAGCTCAGCCTGCAGATTGCTAGCGCGCGAGAAGACCTCGGCGGCCTCCTCGTAGTTCTTGTGCGCGTAGAGCGCACTGCCCTTGGCGGACAAATCGGCCAAAGTGACCTTTTTGGATTTTTCATCCTCTTCGTCAGCTTCTACCTGTTCAGTCGATGATGCATCAGCCGTGGGCGCGACGGTGGTGGTAGCGTTAGCTTCGACCGCAGCAGCTTCGGTCGCAACCGCGCCCTCGACAGAACCAGCAGGGTCAGCATTCGGTCGCGTTTGCTCTGTGGCGTCTGCCATGGTGGTTTTTATGCGTGAAAGTAGTTGATTCTGATTACGCAGTCACAATGTAACAACACAATCTATGCGCAATTGTGGTTGAAACGTCCAGTATTTGTTCTGCACGAGACAGGCCTTCGTTTCAAGTGGCATCAGCTCGCGAAAGAGCTGCGCGGGCCAGTTTTAAATGGACTGACACGACTGCTGATCCAGGGCGGAGATTCGCGCACCTGATTGGTTCTTTGAGCATGGGCGGGTCGGCTAACCACAACCGTCATCTTTATTATTAGGTGGCATTGTATAGCAATGCTGTGTCTCCGCATCAAAGATCGTCAACTTGACTGAATCTACGGCAAGAGAATGATACCAGTGATCAGCCGAATTAGAAAGCTTTTTATGGGCGTGATACCGTCAATAGTGACTGTCTTGCATGAATCTGTTGCAGGGCATGAGGAACTGATTGTAGTTGAAGCGCTCATTTGCTGATGACCACACGGCATGCCTTAAAAAAATCGAGAGTCACTGTGAGAGCCAGGAGCAAGCGTGAAGGGAATCATGAAATTGAGACGCTCAAAATGGACCAGCATACGGGCTGTGGTCAGCGCCCTAGTTGGTGCTGCTCTCCTTGTGCTTCCAGCTCCACGCCAACTCGTCATCATCGCCTAGTTTACTTCATAGTACAGGAGTCAGCAAAATGACGAAAATAGAGGCGCACAAAGTTGAAAAATCAGCGACATCAACAAATTGAAAGAGTTGGCTCACTGGCTCAGTGATGGTCTGCGCATCTCCCGGAGAAATTCGCCAATGACCAAAAGGACAGACGATAGAAGTGAGTCTTGCCTCCCCCCCCCCCCCCCCGCCCACTAACGCAAGCTGGCTGGAGCTACAATGTCCAAATTGACGGAAAAACGTAGATCAAGCGAATTGGCGTGTTGATCAGGTTCGGTAGGGCGCTATTCACCGATCTGCCTGGGCCAATAGTCCAGAAGTGACGAGCCGAAGTTGAAATCCAGCATGGGTTAAACGGCTGAACAGGTGAGACGCGGTACAGAACAAGCGTGTTAGAAGATATCGAACAGATACTACGCGGATGCTAGGCCGGTTCTATGTACCGACTTGCGGCCCGCTCCACCCGCTGACGCGTAACCGCGATCTAGTATTCATCCACGCAGCTGTCACTGATCATCGAGTCGTGTAAGTCTTGCTCTTCGAAACTCATAGCATGTGACAGTTTAGTACGAGAATTGTATCGGTACAACTGAAAAGTTATTGCACATTGTTCATACAATTGCTAGCACTGCGCGACTCGGGTTCAATCAGTGATAGAAGGACAATTCTCGTCGAATTTTCCCCATCGACCGACCGCTTCAATTGGTTTGGTTACTCATCTGTACATCATCAAAATTCCACGCCGAGCCCTCCAAGAGCCCCACGAACCAGCGCGGGCCGGCACTGCCTGCGAGCCGGTACCACGGACGGCCCAGCAACCTCTCCTCAATATACATGGGCTCCGACGAGAGCGGCGCGGCGGCATGACCCCCCGCCGCTGCCGCCTCGTCCATCTGCCGCAGGCGGTTCTCGTACCACGCCTTAATGTACGCCGTCTTTTGCGACGTGCCCGCGTAGCGGCCGGGCTCGTCCATTTCCTCCTGCGTCACGCCGAGCACGCGCGTCTCACGCACAAAATGCTCCACGTTGACCTTGCGCCGCTCCTCGGCCACCTGGAGGCGGCCAATAATCTTGGCCAAAAAGTCCGAGAAGTCGAGGATGCGCCGCGCGGCCGCAGCGTCCCAGTCGGGCGCGTCGACGACGAGCAGCCGCGAGCAAATGACCATGACGAAGCCCGTCTGACCCGGGGCGGCGAGGGCCTGGAAGCGGGCGCTGGTGGCAGGCACGTTGGTAACCGTCTCGAAGAAGGCGTTGGCGGCCACGAGGCAGTTTTGCAGGGCCGTGGCACGGTACTGGTGCCGCCCACCGGGCTCGACGCTGTTCTCGGGCAGGTCGCCAAGGTAGGTGGCCGGCTCGTACAGTCGGACGAGGAGGTACTGCCGGGTGAGGTCAAAATAGCGCGCAAAATGGTCGATCTGGTCCGGGGAGCAGTGCGGGAGGCGCTTCGCCAGCTCCGTGTAGGTGAGGGACTCGAGGATGCTGTCGAGCTCGGCGCGTAGCGTCGTGACGTTTTCGTCGACAAGAAACAGGAGCGGCCGCCCGCGCGCCGTGTCGTTGGCCGAGCCGAAGAATTCCGAGATGCGGTCCTCGATTTGCATGAGGCGCACGACTTGCTGAAGGAGAAAGTCGGAAGGGTACTCGCCGGCCTGGGCGAGGGCGTCGGCACAAAAGTCGACGTATTGGCTGCGCATGGTCGTGTTGCGGCCAAACTGACCCGAGTTTCTGAGTGGTTAGCTTGGCATCAATCATTTTGTGATTGTACGTACATTGATAGTAAGTAGTACACCCCAAGAAATGCTCGCATTTCATCCGACGACGGCGCCTTGGGCACGTTGATATCTTTTGCCGCTCTCACATCATCTGGAGCATTGTCCATTCCGATTTGCTTGAGCAACTCACGTGGAATCTTGGTGATTCCGAGATTATGTGCATAGCCTGTTGCCAAATACGTGAGATTTGTAATCTGCTGGTCGTATAGACTCTGTAAATCCGCCCTGCTTCTTGTCAGTTTCGATCAGATGCGAATAGACAAGGGCTCGCATACCAAGCAATGACAATTAGCAACCCTTGCAAAACGTCTAGACTTCTTTCCTCCTCAACGAGCATACGTTGGCTAATGTACGCGATGACGTTGCGTTTCATCTTTTTTAATCTCGCCACCGGTAAGGGAGCTGAGGAGAGCATTACCGCCCGGAATAGGCAGGGCTTGGACTCACACAGCTCCTGCGCCGTCATGTGGCCAGGAATCCACACAAATGGGAAGTTGTATAGACAGATATCGCGGTAAATGGCAAGAATCCTTTCTGCCTGTGGCCAGGAGAGGCCCATAGGCGGCGGCTGGACAGACGGTTTGGACGACGGCCAGCTGGTCGAGCCCTGGCGCGGAGCTGCCGGCGACAGCCTTGACGCCGAGGTAGAGCTCGCTGGTGACGATGTCGCGGGAACTACAGGGCTCTGCGCCTGAGCAGGGCTTTGTGCGTGAGTCAGGCCTGGTATTAGGCTGGGATTGGACGATCCGCCTATGCCCAAACTGCGTGAGGTGAGAGCATTTTGCGCCTCGATAGCTGTCGTCAAGGCGTCTAAACGATCCTCCAAAGATGCGACACGACTATAGACAAGTTAGTTTTACCGCGACGATATTTGTCGGCAAAAGCATACTTGTTGAGCGGTTTCACCAGTCGTGGTTTCCGCAGGCTTTTGGAAGTCTTTGCAGTGCACCTGATGCCAATTCTCTCACATCTACAGTCGTGAATTAGCCGTGGAGGTGCTATCGAAGCGTCTCACCAAAAGAAACGTACCTTTCACAAACGGCATCATCGGGGCCGCCGTCAAGGTCGGTGAAATTACAACGCGCTTTGGCATTCGTGCATGGGATGCAAGCCCTGCGCCTACGCGGCGGGCTTGCTGGCCGTTCGGGTGGCGTCAGACCCTGCATCGTGGTGAGTTCGTTCTATTGCTATGTGGTGTGATGACAAGCTCCAGACGATTGCGATCGATCAAGGCTTCAGCGGGTTAGACGACTTCGCGTTCCTACCCCTAAGCCGGTTTTTGCGGGGTGAGATGATGGGAGGGGAAAGCGCACAGGAAAGGCCTGGACGTCATGGGGATATAAGCAATGAAGACCGCGCAACGTGGACTTTGGATACTCTTTTGGTAAGGCGTCGGCGGTTGTGATAGGCGTACGGACTGTTAGATGTCTTGACTCCAACGGGTTAGTGCTAGGCCGGTGAGCTTGGAGGCGGGATCCGAAATTACTTGAAAAAATGTGGAAATTCGCGCGTTAACTTTGTAAGTACTAACAATTCGTCTGACCTGCGTCGATGATGCTAGCGCATGGAAATATTCGATTTCGTGGCGGGGTCTGGTGTAGCATCGTATTACATGGTGGTCGCAGTGGCATGTTTTTTGCAGCTATATCTGCGAACAGTATGAGGAGCGTGTCTCTTTGGTAGCTGCTAATCGTCTAATATCTCAATGACTTCTACCTTTTTCGCTGCTTGTTGCGACTGATGCAGATGCCCTCCCGATGGACTTTCTTGTTTTTGGTAATAAGATATTTCAACCAGCGGTTGCCACTCGGCATTTTCACTTATGACAATGGTTCTCATCTCCGAGTTGCCTGCCTCGCGCAACTGTTTCACAACATCGGAAAAATAGTCGCAGATGCGCAGTTGGTTCGGCCTCGCATCACCGCCACAAATCGGGCAGGCCCAGCAGTCGACTAGGCATGGTTCGGTTTGTGACGCCCCGGGCTTCAGTGGACGGGTCTGCAACCAGTTTTCGAGATCAAAACACTCAAAATGTTTGCAGTCGATGCCGCGAACAGGAGTGTCACACATCTTTGAGCTGATGGGGTCGCAGATGGAGACTTTCCAGGTACTACTGAGCAGAGCGACCTCGTCAGTATCGTGTAGCCTATAGCGGTGCTTGATCGCGTCTCTCGTCGCGTCGGCAGAAGAACGAGGTTTAGTATTGATAGCGCGCCACACAGATGCATACTTTTGCGTGGTGACTATCTCGACTCCAATAAAGTAGTCGTACCCGACCTCGTTCTGAGACAGCGATGGCAAGCTAACATGAAGCTCGTTATCACCAGATTTCACGTTAGTGGTGATCTCAACAGGCAAGTCTGTATGGAAGTGTTGTTTGCGACTCAAGAGGCATGGAATCGAGTTGATCATGACGTGCATCTGTTCTGGCCAAAATGTGCCTGCTTGTAACCACTTTGACTCGCTCATCTCATTATACCCTGATGGAAATCGGCAGACACGCACTCTGAAACGCAGAGTGTTGTCTTCGAACCTCACGACCGGTAGACTGCGAATGTCGGATTCCTGGCGCACTGGTATTCTCTGAAGTTGATGTTTTGATAGCGAGAATTCAATCTTGTTCAACTTCATGCTCACTTCTAGCCTTATAGGCTGAAGAACGAGATTGTCGACATATTGATAGTACCTCATGGGCCCATTGTCGAGGGGCACCCGCCTAGGGCTACGCTGTCGTGCCAAATGCAAGCCGACCATTAGTGATGGCAAGCCATAGGCACTCTGGGGATACTCCGATTCAGGTATCCGCCTGAACACTTTGCCGGGTGCCGCCTCCAAGAATGCAGCCAAGCTTGAAGCTGAATTCGTTTTCAAAGGTACAGTAGGCTGAACGTGCTGAGGCATAATATTTGGTATGTTACGAGGCTGGGCTCGGGGCGGAACCGGGATTGGTGAGTGTGTGCCGTTGAAAGGATGTATTGTTTGGCCAGAAGACTGAAAGGGCTGATTCGGTGAGGAGCACACGAATGTACTGTTACCTGATCCGAGAAAGCGCACACTAGCTGAAACTACCGGCATTTGATTGAGTTGGGTCTGATCATTTGGCTGTACAGCTGATGACCTAGGTGTATGAGCCACAGCTGATTCTCTTGCCGTATGAGCACCGGGAGCATCTAGAGACTGTAAGACGTGGGCTAAGCAGGGTCAGCAAATGCAGGCAGTATGTAGCAAACGGCTTACAGATGCTGTGCGCTTGAGAGCGTATGTGCGCAATCAATCCAGAATAGTTCATCACTAATGCTTGCCTTGTCTGCTGAATATGGTCTGGCGTAAAGCGATTAAAAGAAATGGCCGACTCGAAGTTCCGGTCACGATCGAAGGAATTCTGGAAAACATCCATGAGATAGCCATCCGGGCAGCCTAAAAGCCGGCGACTGGTATGGAAGATGATGTTTTGCACGATATATGACGAGCATTGTAGCACGTCTCTCATTTCGCAGACAAGAGCGGGAAAGCTGCGGGATATGATGCGTGCCCGAAAGTCTGGCCAATGCGCTGCAAATGCCGAAAGAAGGCGCAAGATATCTTTTATTACCCGTACTAGAATCGGTGAAGGAACGAATGAGTCAAAAGTTTGGGCAGGGAAGCGGTGAAACCAGTCGAGTTGCGCAGGTGAAAGAGCGTCGTTGGTTTTAACAAGCAGCGAGAGGGCGGCGAATGCGCTGTCTATCGCATCAGGCGCAAACGGCAGCATGATTTGATAAGCGTGTTGTTTGCTGTGTGACCAGATACAATATATGTGATGCATGACGATGTAGGTGATGTCGTGTTTCTTGCAGGCTGCAGACAAGAGCAAGCAACGCTCTCGAAGGAGTTCATGGCTCTGTTGTAAAGTATCGATGTTGTTGATCAACTGATCAACCCTACCACTCCATTCCGAAAATACCAAGGGAGCGTCATCGGATAAGACTCCGTCTGCACGAAACATAAAGCCAGGTCGCGGCAAGGCTGGTGGTACTTCGATGGCCGTTGGCCGCGGCTGGGAGGTTGTTGCCATGGCGGACACGGCGCCGGGGAAGGGCTGCTGACAGAGGTCGGGTATGGAGGGTGCCGTGATGGGAGGTATTGGTGGCGTGTTGGAAGGCATCTTGAATCATTCTGTTTGCGCAAGGGTGAAGAGAGGTGACGGGCGAAAATTTTATATGTAGTAGTGAATGCTTGCGGTGCCAGGAAGAAGGCCTGCAGGTGACGGTCAGACAGCTGCGCGGGCCAGTCACTCGGCGCCCGGAGCTGTTTACCTAGGTAGGTAGCAAAGGAGCCATGAACTACTCGATAATAGAGGACTCTTACACTTTCATCTTGCTTGTCGGCGGACTGGCGTCGGATGAGCGCGCATGCTGGATCGAAATGAAAGGCATGGTTGCTTTGGCGCCCGCTGTCAAGACATTCAGCCTCGATGGGTGTTGTGTTTTGCTGGTAATTATGCTGACAGAGGGGTATACCGCTCACAAAAATGGGTGGCGCGTCCATTGTGTGTGAGTGTAGACCTCAACAGGAGCGTAACACAGGCGTGCTGCAAGCCATACAAGCGCTTAACCCTCGTTCTGCACTATTACCTGGATGTGCAGGACCAGATGGCTAGCCAAAATATGGTGGTGCCGCCATGTGTGCTTTACTGGCACGGGCTGGGGCGACGCGAGTAGCGTTTGGGCAAGGTTTCGCCGGTGCAATGGTTGGGGCGCCGTCGCTGCAAAAAGGCATGGCACAGTTTGCAGCCAAAAAAGATGACAAGAGTCGCAAATAGATCAAATCTGGACTTTGGCATTCACTGTGCACAAGATAGCGTAGCACAGCAAGGCAGCCGGAGGGGACCATGGATCGACACCGTTGGCAGACACGATCGCGGGCTCCTAAATAGGCCTGAAGTGAGATAGATGGCTACCTATGTAACTACCTTATGATGCTAGAGTAGCACCAACTAGTATTTGAGTGGACAGATGCCACGACTGCTGAATTCGGATTCGAAACCAACCTAGGCCTCGACCCGCACTAGACGGTGAATAGCGCAGCGAATTCACAGCGAGGCCTAGCCAAAATAGATATACGAAGTACGTCGCGGCCAACATGAAGGCATCTCACTTCTGAATACAGCTCCTGCAAGCACCTCTTGTAATACGTAAGGTATGGCAAGGGAGTGGTACCTCCTGTTCCACCCTCCCGCGCACACGACCCCTGCCTGTATCGGCTCCCCCAGGAGCGCCCTAGGGACACTCAAATTCATGGCGTACCTACCTAAGTAGGCACTCGGTGGACAAAAAACATGGCGCTAGTCTACCTACAACCACCGCTAATCGTGGGTGTAAATCAGTGTATACCCGCCATGTTTTTTGTCCACCCCTTGGTAGGTACCTTCAGTAGAGTGACTTGTAAGTTGTCACCACATACAGTGGGTCCAAAATAATTCAGAGCAAATCACCACTAAGTCTCCCCATACACTGCTGCTCGGTATTACCTACCTAGAGGCACTGACGCACTGTACCTACTAAAATAATAATGAAGAACTACCTAGGTAGGTAGGTGATGAGTTTTGCCGTAGTTCGAACGCACCATGACAGTAGTAGAACCGCAAAAATCACAATCTCCACCATCTGACAGCAACATTCATCATGCTGCCCACGCCTACCTAGGCCCACCAAAAAGCCGCCTCCTCAACGCCCTTCTCTCATCCCGTGCTCCAAGCCATCATCTTTCGTCACGTTCCATCGCGCCCTCGTTTCTCGCCAACCACCACCGAAATTCCCCTATTCGCCTTGTCCTGTATTCTCAAATTCCTCGCGAGCTCCGCATTCTACTCCCGACTGGCGCATGGCGCCCGCTCTCTGCGACACTTCAACCTCTACCCGCCACCTCGACCCTACATGCCACCATTGCCACCTCCGACATCAACATAATCCATCGCTGCCTGGCTGCGGCACTCTGGCAGTGCTAAATTTGATTTAGGACTTCCACTGCCAACGTCAACCATGTCCGGCCCACCCCCACCCAGAGGCCCTAGCGATGGACCTCGTCCAGACATTGGCGACACCCTGATTGTTATCCGTACGTACTCGCCGTGACGGCCCAAAAGGGCACATATTGCTTCACAGCCACTCACAATTATATAGATGACTTCCATGCTCGTAGCTCGGATGAGCTTAGTCTCGGCAAAGGCGATAGAGTTGAGCTGATTGAGCGCGACGACGAATTTGGTGATGGCTGGTTTCTCGGGCGTCACCTCCTCAATGGTAACACAGGTCTCTTTCCCGAAGGTTCGTCGTCTTACTCAATATTCTTGGGCCATGTTGACCATGTTCAGTGTACACGCGACCAGCTCCAAGGAATATTCCCGGACCCTCGCCCGCCACACCCAGCGAAGTGCTGGCCCCGTCCATTACAACTGCTAGTGTTCCGACGACGACTCCTTCACGGACGACCAATGCCGATGATACGCCTGCGCCTTCGAATACCACAGAAGCAGATGTATCGTCTGTGTCGCTCTCAATTCCCATCTTATCCGAAGTTTCGCTCGCTCAGAGTGCACCAAGTCAAACAGGCGCTGCCTCCCCTGCCGTCGCTCTTCCTCAGCAGACACCCGGCCACGACAGCCGCGTCCTCAGCGAAACTCTTAATGTAATTGATGAGCATATCACGCGCCTTAGATCTCCTCTCAGTACTGGTAGTAACTTGCGAAATCATGGAAATGACTCGAGCTCCGAATACAGCGTTCCACTCGACCATCGCATGTCTTATATCCGTGGTGAGGAAACAGATGAAGAGGAGGACCTATCTCACACGAAGCAAGAGGTGCAAGGCTGGCCTGCTGATCGAGTTGCTGAGTATCTCTTAGAGGCTGGTGTCGAAAAGCAACACTGCGAAGTCTTCCGTGACCAAGAGATTAGCGGCGAAGTCTTATTGGGCATGGATCAAAGCTCCCTTTTCATAAAGGCATTTGATCTCGGCTCTGTTGGTCGCAGGCTCAAGACTTGGCATAAGATCAAGGCCCTTCAGGATGAGGTCGCTAACAACGACGCTGGCGTCAAGAGAAGTACACAATATGGTAGCGATGCGGGCTCTGAAGCAACCAGAAACCGGAGAAGTCGCACTAATACAATTACGACAAGCGGTTCCAACAGGCCCTCCTCAGTCTCAACTAGACATCTCTCTCAGGCTCCCAAGGCTTCTCCTACTACCCAGGTCACGCCTGCGTCACCGCAAAAGATGGTTGAAAGCCGACCAGGTCATGCAAAGCGACCGTCAGCCGCCTCAATCCGAGAACTGCACCACTCAAGACGACACTCTTCGACCGACTTTCGTATCGCATCCCCTGTCCTTCCTTCTCCGTCTCTGCAACCTCGGTCTCCCGTCGACGGTCACAGGAAGCAGCCATCATTCGATCGTAACTGGACGCTTGGCAATGCATTTGGGCAGCCCGGAGTTCGTCCGCTCTCATCTGCCGGTCTACAGGATTTGGAACCGTCCGAGAAGGATCAGGACTCCGCTGTCGACCTCGACAGAGGATATTTCTCTGGCACCGAGGCCGAGGGAAGACGCCGAAACGTACTTAAGAAGCGTGAGAGCCTCGCTCACTCTCGACAGTCCAGTTACGCGGAGGAACAGCGAGTTCGTAGCGCTACTGCGCTCTCCAGACACTCTCGATTCGGAAGTGTTGATTCGTTTCGTGATGCGCCGTCTACTGCTGCTCATAAGTACTATGGTATCCAGCCGTCTGCCCATGGCAGAAGCGCGTCGACAAACACTACCGAATCGATACGCCCTCTGCCTCCTTTGAAAGATAATATCCCTCCACCCGTTACAAAACTGGACTCAAAACGTGCGCAGCCCGCACCGAAGCAGCAGGGATTCAATTCGGACTGGTTGTCGAATGTCGTCAGCCGCCCAGGTCAAAAACAAGGCCGCAGCGGCATGCGCGCCATTTCCGAAAAGTTCAACTTAGAGCGCCGTGTGTCGCCATCCGACTCTTCCCCGAAGGATAGCGCGTCATTTTCGCCAGCCACTGGGCAGAGCACTCCTTCCGTAGCGCAGAGCCTGGAGGCTGACTCGCCTGTCTCCAGTCAGAACAGTGCCGCCACAGCCCCTATCAAGGGAAAAAAGAAGGGCAAGAAGGGCACGAGCGCGTACACTCGGGGATTACTGAAAATTGGCCCTGTAGAGGCTAAACAGGGTGCAGAATACTTTGGGTGGATGAAGAAGAAGAGCTCGCATCTCATGACCAACTGGAAGCCACGATTTTTCGTTTTGAAGGGTCGTCGCCTATCATACTACTATTCCGAAGACGACACGGAAGAAAAAGGCCTAATCGACATCTCGTTCCACCGCGTGCTGCCCGCCGACAACGACCGACTCACTGGGCTCCACGCCACCATTGCCAATGCTGTCGGTGGGCCGTCGATTCCCAACTCGTCACTCTCGCCGGACGTAGAAAAATCCAACGAGCCCGACTTCATCTTCAAGCTAGTGCCGCCGCGCGCGGGCCTTTCGCGGGCCGTCAATTTTACCAAGCCGATGGTGCACTACTTTGCGGTGCCGAACGTCGCGCAGGGCCGGCTCTGGATGGCCGCCTTGATGAAGGCCACGATTGACCGCGACGACGCGGCGCCCGTCACTACGACGTACCAACAAAAGACGATTTCACTCAACAAGGCGAAGCAGATGCGGCACCGCCCTCCCGCGCTCATGAACCTCGATGAAATGGCCGACGAGGAGCAGAAGGCGGAGAGCAGCAGCAACGGCGGCGGCGGCCCGAACGGGACAAATAGCCTCGGCATCTTTGCGGAGACGGACAGCGGTGTATCGGGCTTGGATAAGGCCAAGCCCAATGGCGTCTCGGTGGAGACCAAAGTCGGTGACCCCGGCGCCGTCGTCGTCCCGCAGAGCGCATAGGCTGCGCTGTGCTGTCGCGGCCAGACATTGCGACGTGGTAAGAAAGCTATGATGATGGTATGATGTATGCACACAAGATCAAAATCGACATGCATGCGAATATTCGAAAAGATGGAATGTTTTACTGCTGGGATCAAGTTTCAATAAGAAGAAACGAATGCTGCGTTTTTTTATCTATGTTTGGTGCTGGCTGGGGTTCTTTTTGCTGTCTGCGTGCGAGTTTGATGTAATACTGCGTATTCGTCGCTCTTCCTCTGGGTCTTTTTTTCTCTTCTTTCTCCTTTTTACAATATGGTGTTTTGAATCTTTCTTTAATGTTGTCATCTCTATATCCTTTGCCAATTTTCTCTCCTTCTTCAAGTCATGTTATTGATTTTCTTCTTATTGGTATATATATTTCTTGGCGAAAAAGTACGGCTACTGGCGATGGAGGAGGAAGATGAGGCACGGAAATAAGACGCTTGTTCTCCTGATCCATCGTTACTGCATCATCTCGAGTAACATCAAAAGCCATATTGACTTGTTACCGGAAAAGAATCTATCATTGCTGCATCATCCCGAGTACATCAAAAGCCATATTGACTTGTTACCGGAAAAGAATCTATCATTGCTGCATCATCCCGAGTAATATCAAAGTCATTGAAAAGGGCTCTCTAGAAATTTTTGCATGCGTGCGCTCTATACTGTTTGTATATGTGAAACACGCCATGACAAGATTGACGAGTTTTTGGACAGGTTACTTGATTAATAACTTCTGCAAGGTATATTAGTAGCTACATAATGCATGAGCATGTAGCCCCTGATATTGCGCAAACAAGCCAAGCGTACTTGGCAGGCGTCCATAAGTTGGCCACTACCTTGTCATTAACTCCCGTCTTGTCTCGTAAACAACATTGCACGGCTGAATAAAGATAAAACGCAAAGCACGCTAATTGATCAAAATTCAAGCAACATAAACGCCAAGAGATGCTTCCAGTCCCGAAGCAGCTTTTTTCCAGCTCATTAGGCCGGCTGGCCCAGTTTCTGATTCATACCCATAAGGAGCTGTCTGATGGACTTCATCAGATGCTGCTCGACTCCTTCAAAGTTACTGCTCGTCTCACCCTCACCGCTCGGAGGGAGAATACTTGCTTCAACGAAACCAAGCACCCGATCAATCGCGGAAAGCGTCACGGCTTCAGCCTTTGCTTCTCCGAGTCGGACTTTGAGTGCCTTTATGGATACTTCCTTGAAACCGTTGAGTGACGAGAGGACCTTTGAATCGAAAATTGGAGGTGGGTCCTTGGGTGCTGTGCCACCCGGCGTGGGGCTCTTGTTCTTTGTGAAGCCATCAATGACTTGACGAATGCCTTTGATACAGATGGCTTCCATCTTATCGTTTTCGGTGGCTTCCTTCTTTAGGCCGACGCAGCGGTTCAGCGCCGACATGACGATAGCCTCGGCCTTGGGATTGCGAGCCTTTTTGAGGTTGTCGACAAGACCATTTTTGAGACCAACAACCGCTTGAAGTAATCGTGGCTCGATGACGGGCCGTATCGCAGCAGGGCTAGCCGATGAAGCTGGTGCCTTGCCTGCAGCGGCAGGCTGCGGCTGGGGTGTGCCGCTGGGACCAGGTGATGGTTTTACGGCAGCTGAAGGGCCAGAAGCGATCGGTTTTGCTGGCGCCTCTGCCTTCATGGGACTTGCGGCCGGAGGAGGTCGCGCAGCATATGGTGAGCTGTAAGAGCCGGGCTGCGGTGCTCCCATTTGCGGTCTTGCTGGCGCTGGAGGGGGACCATATACACCAATCTGCGTAGGCGCTAGTGGCTGAGCCGCAATCGGGGCAGGGGGTTGTTGCGGTTGTTGCTGACGCTGATGCTGCGGCTGTTGCTGTACCTGTTGTACCTGCTGTGGCTGCTGCTGCATCTGCTGCTGCACCTGCTGCTGTGGCTGCTGTGGCTGTTGCTGTACAGGAGACGCATATTGTGGTGGTCGCTGTTGGGCAGGCTGACCAGTATATGCTTGCACCTGATAGCCGGTGACTTGACCTTGTCCATAACCAGGCGGGACAGCCATGTGCTGCTGGTGCGCGTTGTATGGATATGAATATGGACCATAACCCTGTGCAGCCATTGTTCTGTCCGGAGACGAAGCTTTGCGCTTCTTTCCGGCGTCTAATTCCACTCCGGGAACACGCGACCACAGATTGGTCGTCTCATCCTTTTTGAACGCCTCATTGCCAATGAGATTGTGACGGACACTACTCTCCCAGCCTTTCGTTTCAGTATGGAAATAAAACCACGGGTATCTTTGACAGATTCTCTTATAAATCTGCTTCAACGTGAGGCCATCCGGGCCAGCGGCGGTCAGCGTCTCGTCAATTAAAACGCCGTAATTCTTGTTGGGCTTCTGAAGCTGCTCCTCGGTATAGTCTTCAATCTTGAGCTCCAGTGGTGGCGACTTGGGACGAGTTTTCTTCTCCTTCTTCTCGCGCGCTCTTCTTTCGGCGTCGGACCCCTCAGCACCATCTTCACGAGGTTTGCGGGGTTTGTACTTGCGCTTCTCCGGCTGGTCTCCGGCGTTCTCTGGCAGCGGATGCTTGCGTGGTCGACCAACCTTGCGCTTAATAGGTGGTTCGACGGGGGGTGGCAGTGGTAACGTCTTCTTGGCCATCTCTTGCTGCTGCTTTTTGAGGAGGCGCTGCTCGCGTTTCGACATGATGCCATTCTTTGGCGGTCTTCCAGGGCCTCTCTTCTTGGGCAATCCCGGCATGAGGAGACCCGACTGATCTCCAAATGCTTCGTTCTTAATTGCCTCTTCACCCTCGAGACTGTCTTCTTCGGCCATCTCCTCGTCGCCATCACCATCTTCACCAAGGTCGGACAGTTCGGGCAGCGAGCCATCGACCTCTGATAGCTCATCGCTAGTTTCTTGAATCTGCCCGTTGCCATGGGTCTGTTCAAACTCGAAGCTCATCTCTTTGCCACCATGCGTTTGTCTCTTCTTGATGGGTTTCTTTTCCTCCTCGAGATACTCTTCAGCGCCAGTCCTGCCCTTTTCGACGCCATTGATTATGAAGCGAAAGTCAATGTCCTTGATCTGCAGACGGTCGCCACACTTGAGTATCACCTTTTCGCTCTTGTAGTGGACGTCCTCGCAAAAGAAGCCGTTCTTGTGCAGCGGGATTGCCTCAAAAACACCTTCTTGTTGGTTGTATGCAATCTTGAGATGTTCGCGAGAGATGGCCTTGGTCTTGCTCGCAATGTTGGGGCCAGGAGAGTGAATACCAATAAAAGGAACGTGCCAAGGCGAAGGGCGTAATGATGTGAGGTCGACGGCAGCTGCGCCGGGGGTATGGGAGACGTATTGGCGATTGGAGATGATGTTGTCGGGATTCTCTTCGTTTTCTTGCTGGGATGAGCCGGCGGTGCTCGTTTTGCGACGCTTCGCTGGCCGACCGCTCTCTTCGCTATCGGATTCGGGGCCAAGCATACCGCCTTCTTCAGACACATATGACTTGCTAAACTTGCTACGATCGTGCATCATAGGCGAGGGTGGAGGCAAGCCTCTGCTGGCGTTCTCCTCAACGCGACGTTTATGAACGTCTGCGCGTTTTTCGTCGCGGCGGGCCTGCTCCATAGCGCGCTGGTCGCGGCCGATAATGACAGCATATGTTGTCATCTGAAAGACGGAATCGGCAAACTCTATTCGCGCAAAGGATTCGAGGCCCTTTTCGGCGCCAGGCGGACGAACAGCATTGCTAGGAGCCAGTCCGTTTATGGTGGCATCCATGGGGTTAGGCAGCGTCACTTGGGACGGAGTGACGGTAGGCGGGGGCGACATTGCCGAGGGCGCATTGGACATGGAAGCGAGAGCCATCATCATGTAGGCATGGTGGTCGATGCCTGACGAAGCGACGGGTGTGAAGGGTGTCGAAGTGGTATAGTGCCCCGTGTTGGTCATGGCAGCGTCTTGCGTCTGCTGAAGTGCGTCGAGTTGGCTGGCACTCGCCGTCGGTGTCGCGGTGTGGTATGCGCTGGCTTGCGTGGTGACCGGCGTCTGAGCTGCTGCTGCTGCATCCTGCGCGCTGCTGTGCGCATGATCTACGTCAGTACTATTCGCGGGGGTAGTTGGTCGCTTTGTTGTGGTCGAGGACCCATTGGCAGAGTTGTTCTGAGGTGCTGCAGGAGCGGTCGGCGATGTGGAGGCCTCGGCCGCATCAGCCGCATCGGAGGCAACAAGCCCTGTGGAATCCGTAGTCGTAGGTACCGTCGCAGAGTGATGCGGCGACTGGGAAGGCGCGGTGGGAGCGCTCTGTTTGTCGGAGAGGCCCTGGTGGCCTACGCTCGACGAAGTCATCGCTGCTACCTGTGAACAGCTCCTTCGCCCTCAACCGGTGAAGTCGGCTATAGACGTGCACTCGGGTGTGGCGATGATTGAAAAAAAAAGATTTGGGTTGCAGAGGAATCCGCAGAGAGGCGATGCAACCCGCGCGGATGGTTGGGTGATTGTCCGTCGACGGGAGTCGTCAATTTGTTGACTGGACGGCCTTGGGCAAAAGAATTTGGCGGGCGCGGGCGATGCGTCGGGATCTGTGTCTACAACGGCGTAGGCTCCAGTGGGTAGCGGGAGCGCAAGTGGCAGCAGCAGCAGCAGCAACGACGCGTTGTCATTGGTGGGCTGGAGTGACTCCTCACTATTGGGGTCCTTCGGTCTTTTTTGGGGGGAGCTCCTCTCTGGGGCCCGGTAGTCCTGCCCACTGGGCCGAGCCATGACCTGCAGTGGCAGTGGGTGTAGGTACCAAGGTACCTCGCGTACAGGTGGTGTTGTTTTGCCTGAAGCCGCAATGGTAGGTAAATACCTACCTACCTAGGCCTGAATATTATAATGGGCCGGCCACAGCTGCTAACATAGCGGGGGAAACACGATCGGCTGCGGCCGCAATGCATTTTGAATGTGACCTGCATTTTGCCATGACGTCGTGTAAGTGTAGCTAACCATCCAAGAACAGGAGTAAATGATGATTTTTTTGACTTATTTTGCCCGTTTGAGCTGATCTCCGTACTCATGTTCTTCTGGCTATGAATTATAACTTATTCTGCGCCGCTTCGGACTAGATCTCAAGCAAACCTCAAGGTCGCTGTGCTTGCTTGGTCAACGACAAGCCAGAATAACCCTTCAAAAACACCTAGGGGAGGATTGAATATTCATTGGTCATATTTTAGTATGGCGCGAGATATCGAAAAGTGTCACGTTTTGACCCCGTATTCATCGTGACACCCTTAGCTCTCAGAACACTGGCGCTCGCTGCTACACAGCGAACCAATAATAGTCATTCTTCTAATCCACCACCCTCACCCTTTGATCATTCAAGAATATCTCTTTTACGCTCAGTTCCACGGTTCCCGGGGCGGGTACAGTTTGCTGGCCATACTCGCTCCACGCCGCCCGACGCTTAATGCAACACCAAATCGTGCCTCCTCATCCACTCGTTTTCACTACAGAGTCAAAGACGCAGCACCAACGGGTCATTGTTGCCGCCAGGTATCCAAACACCAAACCACTTTTAGAGCATAGGCATGGCCAAATCAGCGTGAGTTGACTAGAGCGAATCGCTTGTTTTGAATCATAAAAACCGAGGGGCTCGCTCACTGGGCAGTCACTTCTCCTTGACCTACATTCTCCCTATCACATTGTTGTCGGTTTTTCTTTTGTCTTCATTTACTCCTATCGTTTCAAAGCATTACCTTCTTCTTTTGTGGTATATCTCAATCTACTGTTCTCTGGCTTCACGTCATTCCACGCATCTTACTCGACCACTTCATCATGAATCGCCTCCTGGACCGCTTCCGGCTGGCCGGCCCTGCCAACCAGAAATGGAATCATGGCTTCTCCGACGCGTTTCAACCCAAGCCACTCCGCCATGTAGACAGCTTTCACTCGCGCTATGTGCAGATGCTGCTCGACCAGGACAATGTCGCCAGGACGCACAACATCCTCGCCTCCTTCTTTGTGTGGCTGCTGCTGGCCAGCTTCATCGTATTCCCCGGCACATTCACCACCATACAAAAGTCCATTGAGAAGAATGAAAATGGCAATTTTCCCAGCAAAGCAGCCGAATCCTTCTTCAAGAGCGTAAAAAACGTGCCGCTTCTCGCGCTAGCCGCCATCATGTGTTCCATTTCTGTCATTGGCATGGCCGTCCTCGCACTCCGCCACTTGAACAATTATGTCTGGATTCTGAACAAGCTCTTCCTTCCTGGTTTCGCCAATTGCACGGCCGGACTCATATCGACTTTGGTTGGTGTCTATACCCAACAAAAGGGTGTCTGGAGCATCTCGGCCAAGGTCACCGCGATTGTGGAAGGCTGCGGTGTGGCCATTTGTGGTACCATCTGGTACGTGGTCGATCACTTCTTTCTTTGCAAGGTCAAGGAGACACACGACAAGCACTACGATGAGTGGCCTAAGCAGCGCGGCTAGATAATACGGACATAGCAAAAGATATATATATCTATAGTCGAATAGACAGGAAACGGCGCAGGTAGCATTTGCTTCATAGACCAGGGCTTGAATACACTATTGCAGTAGGGGATCACGTTCACTAGCTCCAGTAACTTGGTGTACCTTGCGGGTAAATCGGCCAGACAAACAGAATGACCAATGGCACAACAGCCCCGCGAGAAACCCAATGGCATCGTTCTTGAACGCCAGGATACAGGCCGTGGTCATTAGCATGACAGTCCAGCGCTCCATCCGCTCCTCTTCAGATAGACTGCGCAGCTTACGTGTAATGACGGACGAACCTGCACTGTGGTCGGAGGACTCTTGCCAGAGATCGCGGGCGCCTTGGTTGAGTGAGTGGCCAACCTTGACAAGCTCTAGACCGGCAGCAAGAACCATGATACCCAGCAAACTCTTGGGATACTGACCCAGAAGTCCGAGAAGAGTGCTCCCGAAGAAAAGACCCAGAATAATCTTTACAGTTCCTAGAAATATGACACTAGCGCCGCTGCGAGCGCCGAACCGATATTGCGCCGCCAGACCGCCGGATCCATGACACACAGGCATAGCACCGAACCAGGTACAAGTCAAGTTCATCATGGCCACGCTGAAACCGATGGCTGTGACCGATGGGGTGGGAACGTCGGGAAGCAAGTCGGCAGCCAGTGCTGTCACCGCAATAATCGAGTTGAGAGTCGTAAGCGGAAGCTGGCCGATGGCCATGTAGATGGGGGAGGCATCACTGTTGCCAATCATTTTTGGCAAAATAAACTCGGGCTGCCACAGGGTGAACCAAGGCAGCGACTGGTGCGTTCGAATCACCTGGATAAGGGCAAAGAGTAATCCCAAGAGGAAAAAGGCCAGTGCATAGGGAAAACGCTGTAGCCGTTGAGTGCCGATGAGAATGAGAAAGGCAAAGATGGCCCAGAGACGATTATCCAGGATCGGGTACAGCCACCCGAGAGGCTGCAGCTGCGACGATCCCGCGCCAATAATGAGTGACAGGCCGGCACCGAGCTGGATGCCCTTGACAACGGGGATGGGTACAACCTTGACGGCCCAGCGCAGCAAGCCGGTGACGCACATGACAAAAATGGCCGCGCCAACCCAGAGACCAGCCCCGGCCACTCCCTCTATGGAAGGGTCGCCTCGGTGTGCGATGGCTGCCGATGCGATCGCCTGCAATGGTCAGTGTGTGCTCGACAGCTGTCAAAATGACATTATGGTCAGTGTACCTTCATCGGCTGCACGGGCAGCGGGATGCCAAAGACGACACCAGAGATGACATTGAAGGCGCCAGAGAATATCAGCGTCGAGTCCAGGTGAATAGAACCTTGAATGGCAAGCGCAATCATGAGCGGCAGTAGGGTGCCCAGATCGCCGAGCGAGCCCGATATTTCCGCCAGAGGGGCATTGCGAAAGGTGTTGACGTTGTGGCGGTTACGCTTCTTGAGGTGAGACAGGAAGGAACGCATTCTCAGAAGTGCAGCCGCGCATTCACTGTCAGCATGGGGCTTCGATAAGCAAAATAACAGCTCTTCCGTCAAGGATATATTCGGATAAATGCAGGGCTGCGCTGCGTCATTGGGCTATGATAGGACGATGGAGATATAGTAGGTTGACGGGAGTTGACTGGCCGGAGGAGCTGGCTGCCCCACGTGAGCTGCTGTTGAGCGACGTCACCTTGGAGGGCGCTGACCAACGCTTCAGCCAGCGACGCAGCACCAGTGCGATGATAGAGGCATTTGGAGCGCAAAATAAAGCTTGACAGTATTGTTGACCATGTATCGCAAGGTAAAGCAGAGAACTAGGAGGAGGAGGCGGCACGTGCTCCATGTCGTTTGTTCGCAACGGGTAGCTCGCCATGAACCCTAGTCTACCACACGAGGGTTAGGGTTAAGATTTATCACAAACTAGGCCAGCGAGAGCGACTGCAATTTTCACAACTAGTTATTAGCGCGGCATTCCCAACCGTTGTGGCCGCGCCGCGGAATGGACTACGCCCGTGGCGGGAGCATTAGCCATGCCATGCACTGCGATTGCTTTCGCGTGGCGGGATGGGCCGCTGAGAAGCAGACAACGGCCTTGTCCGACGATGTGGCGAATGTCACGGCAGAAACGAGGAGCCGATAAGTAATATGGCATATCAGCAGAGGCTGGCCATTAACAGAAACCGTGTCTGCCTGCAAGTTGTCAAGCTCGAGCTCGGTCAGTCATTGACTCATTGTACACCAGAGGAGCATAAGAAAAACTGGACCGAACTATCTCGAGCGAGCCTCGCGCCGCGAAAGTTTTCTTGTGATTATTTTGCAGGCCATTGTACGGGTCAGAAAATACCAGGGTTCCTGTTTAGTCTTCCCCACCCTGTGTTGGATTGTTGATATGTAGCAATTGGTCAGTGGTCAGTAACTAGCAAGTCGGCGACGCGAGGTGCCCGCATTGGATATTCCTGTGGAGACTTGGTTGGTGTGGGAAAAGCAGAAAGTCTATGGCCGCCTAATGGTGCCCTTCCGGGGCGTTCGGGATCATGTCCATGGACAAATTGTCGACGAGGCAGGCTGGTCAATCATCCATGGCATTTCGATAACACCTATAATACATTTATACGACCACAAATTTGCAACTACATACATGACTACCACCGCCCCCCGCACAGGAATGTCGCTGTTGTACCGCCGAAGCCACGTGCGAAGACGTGTAATGCCAATGCGGTCGTGCATTCTTCATCCTTGGTGTGCTTGCTGCGGTTTCCTGGGCGCCTAGACAAGAACTTCTTGGGTGCAATCGATTCTCTAGTAAGCTGGGCGCGACCTCGTAAGCTGTGGTCATGGCCCCCTCCCCGCGCCCTTGTTCGCTCGCCTTAAGTCCGCGGGGAAGACAGGCTGGCTGGATATCAATAACAGGGGGCCGGTCGGGTCCCGGAGGCGGTTCGTTAATCACGCACGTTGCGATTCATGTCGGAACCTCCGTGTAGGGCAGTGGGACGGGGGGCGTTTGGACAGAATTCGGCTTTTTGTCGTGCTGTTTAAGTATTAGAGGGATAAGAAGACGCTAATAGCATGTACTTTGGCAACGCCTGATGATTTGTGGCTGCAGTCCTTGTGCAGACAGGAAAAAAGCTTGGTTCGTACCCAAGTAGTAAGTGTGATTACTCGCAGAGTGGCGTATTGCCTCGGCGTGCCGAAATTCGCGCAGCTTTTTGAGACTCTCCAGTCCACAGTGCATACAAGGTCCCCTGCCACAGCGCGCCGATTCATTAACTACTGGTAGCACCCGGGCTCCAATGCGGTCGGCGCAAGTGTTTTGGCGTCTACTTTTTTGTCTCCATCAATTGTGCGTGACGTGTGCCAAGCTCATTTCCTAGAATGGCATGTAATAAATAGCTAGAGTCCGAACTACGTTTGTATATATGCTAAGTTGGCTAGTGATTTTTGCAGAATGAAAAGGTCTGTAGCACAGAAAGAAAAAAAAAAGAATAAGCATTCGAAGAAACCGGGTTGCAGCAATCGGGCGTTGCAGCATGCAAGCCCACATGCCGTCGTAGCATCGATGCCGCTGTTCCGAAAGGGCAGGCGTTCCGCTGGCTAGAGGACGAAGACGGAGGTGAGAAAAGGAAAAGAAAGAATATTATTTAACTGCAGCGGTGCGCCCCAGAAGGCGCTGATAGGGACGGACCAACTAACCTAGGGATAACTACGGATAGGTAGAAGAAAAAAGCCTCTGACGCCACTGTCTGGACCGCTAATTACCATTTTGGTTCCGAGGAATCTGGCCGGTTCTGGTCGAGACGCCGCCTTTTTTTGGTTTCTCGTTGCCGCTCCGTCCGATTCTGCCGTACAAACTGGGTCATGATTTTTTTGGTGCCCCTGCTCACCTCTGTCACGGGGCGAAAAGGTCAATCGGGCGACGGCAAAGACTTGGCTGGGGGGTTGAGGCACTTTCGGTGTCATGTACTGGTAATGAGTACCTCGAAAACCCTGCTCTGTTAACCAGGTGCAACAGGGGACTAGAGGTCATAACTCAGACAAGTCATTGTCACAGGTACCATCAGACCCTCTATCGAAACAACACACAGATACAGACTGCTACCTTATTCTTATTGAGCAGCTCGAGGTTTGGCTTGCTTCCTCGGGCCATGTTCCATTACAACTCGCGCAGCACGGCCATTGCATTCGGCGGGCATAAGAAGAACAGTCAGACCATGAATGTTTGCACAAAGTAGGATCAAGATGGTAAAAAGTGACCTAGACACAATTTTGAATACCTCGCGCCTCGCCTCAAATACCCAAGCCCTTGTTTGGCCCAGTCCCGGAGACGCCAAACCACGATCGGGTGGTCCGTGACGTGAGGCCCCGCTTTTTCCTTTTCTTGGAGTGCGCATTGCGCTGCTGAAGCCTGCCATCAACAAAATCATCCTCCAGTCCGCTTACGCGATTCCACTCAGTTTGTTGCTTCTCCATCCTCTCCTTGCACCAGCCAAAATAGTCATTGTTTCTTCTCCCCTCCCCAGGTAAGGAAAAATTCCACGATTATTGCCTCCTCAATTGATGTTGCTCGCTCTTGGCCTCGAATGCCCAATTCGCAACTTGGTCTGCCGTCTTGCCGCCCACTTCCCCCCGTCACTCCCCGGCTTGCGGTGGAGCGGAAGGAGCAAAATTCGTCCACTGCGATGAAAACAACCCGCCCCAGGAAAGCCGACCGCAGAGCAAAACAAAGCATCACAACTCTTCGGCGATACGCGCGATGCAATTGAGCCAATTTCGCTGTTGATTGTAAAGTCAATTCGCGAATTCAAGCTCCAGTTTGCTGCAATCTCCATCTTTACCTCCAGCCAATTTGAGGTCTTTTTTTTTGTGTTCTCGTGCCCACCTACGAATGCTAACAGCTTAGCTCCCAGAGCGGTTCATTCTTCTCATATTCCATCGCAATGGCCGCCATCACCGCACCCTCCCATCCCGGCCTCGTCATGCACGAGATTGCCAAGCGCTCAAACTGGCCCGGCAAGAACGCTGGTGTCATGGTTGTCTTTTGCATCGTCTTCATCGGTTCGTAAACGCCTCCACCTCCAACGTTTGGCCGGCTCTCTACCAGCTCCAATTGCGCCAGTAGTGTCTCTTCTTCTTTCTCCTCTTACTAACTGCATCGCGACAGTCGGCGTGGCTCTGGTCGGCCTCTTGATTAGCAAATGGCTCAAGCGCCGCAAGGAGTCCAAGCCCGAACTGTAAAAACATTGCCTATGATACAAGAATCAAGGCTGCTGGGGGAATCGGGGGAGGTGCTTTTTTTTTCGGTTTGGGATGGGAATGGAATGACGGCCTGGTCGACCACGGCAAACGTCATATGCGCATCTGCGGGAGAGGACCGGGCACCAACACTGAGACGGCCTGTTTTAATATCCAACTTGTCACGCCCCCGTCGCCGTCAACATGGCCTTTTCGGATCTTTCTGCATTCAACGAACTACAAACAAGACAACCAGCCTGCATTTCCGCGCATCGAATTTCGACCTCTTTTGTTCGTCGCCGCCGCCGCCGCCCGTTCTTTCACGGTACAGTGTGCCTGCCAGGGCCGCAGAGTGGGAGTAGGGCTATAGGCCTGTGCTTATCCACAGGCTGGGGAGCCTGTTTGATTCGGAGTCTTTTGCTGGGTTGGTCTTGTTTGACTTGTTTGTATGCTGGGAGACCGTTGAACAGCCATGTGGTGTTGCGCCCGTGCGATGCTTGTCAAATCTATCAGGCTGCTGTATTCTTATTTCTAATACTACTGATACCTCTTTTGCAAATCTGGTTCTGCTTTATGTACTTGCTACCCAGTCCTCGTTTGCAATGCGTTGATAATCAATCCATCTATACACGTCACGCGATAGTGTAGCACAGCCTATATCATACAATCAGCGCCAAGACAACAATCCCCCCGCAACTACAAACGCCCTACAAGCCTTCCCGGGCGAGCATGTCGGCAATGTCCAGGTAAAACGCCACGGCGTTGAACGTCCTCTTCATGCCCATCATCTCCCGCAGCGCCCATCGCATGCGATTCGACCAGTTAATCAGGTCCAAATGGCCCACGCCCACCAGCGTGCCTCTATACTCGCCCCATCTACTGCTCGCCACGCTCACAAGCCCATCATTCGGCCCCTCGCCCGCGTCCTGCATCACCTGCCACGGCGGCCGAAACACGCTCAGCCGCGACGGCACCTCCTTCATATCCGCGCCGTACGAGAAATACCGCACCCCGTCCACGTCTGGCGTCTCGGGGTTAAACGTGCCCGTCATGTACCGCGTCGTCAGCTGCTCAAACGCCTCGGTGCCGAGGCCCGCGCGGGCCAGCAGCGCGTACAGCTGCGGCAGGTGGATCGGCGAGCGCGAGTCCGTCTCCACGAGGTAGTCGGCCACGGGGCTGCCCCGGTGCGGCGTCGCAATCGTAGTCAGCGACGCCACCTGCACGTCAGGCCGCGGGAGCAGCCGCGAGATCATGTACCGCGCATCGAGCCCGCCCATGCTGTGCGCTATAATGTTGACGGGCGGCGGTGGCGAGGCGCAAGCTTTCTCTTGTGCTTCTTGAGCCGCGACGATGCCGTCGGCGAGTGTGGCCGCGCGCACGGCAATGGAGCTCGAGGGCGGCACCGACGTCGCAAACACGGTCGCGCCGTTGGCCCGCAGCGCGTCTTGGATGCCGTGCCAGTATTGCACGGCCGGAAGCCGCGGGACGAGACGTAGCTCCGAAAAGCCAAAGAGGCCATGGGCGAGGACGATGGGGTACTTTGGCGTAGCTGTGAAATCATATTAGCTTTCTTTCTTTCTTTCTTTTCTTTTTAGTTTTTTGCCTTGCTTCATAGTCATGGCCTCGGGCAACCGGCAAGAGAATCCATAAGAGCGGTGTCGTGTCATACCATAGTGCTCGCGCAGCTGAGCAAAGTCGTCAATAATCTCTCTTCCTGCGCCGGGTATGCGCGGGTCCTTGCCGAGGCGCCGCGAGGTGCAAAAGGTTCGGAAGCCATGGATGCGGCGGCGGCGTAGCAACAACGGCAATGGCAGTGGGCGCTGATGGATAGCACACCGACTCATCACCGTTTGCCCGCGGGGCAAATTTGCAAGGTCTTTTGCAAAAGGGTGATTGCTCCGAGCGGCGGGATGAACAATAGTTGGTGGTGTCAAGGACGGGTCAATGGGGTGGCTGGCTACCTGTGCCTGACGTCACCGGTGAGCGCGGTTATGCCGAGCTTCAATGCACGGAGCCGAAAATGGCACCACGTCGCAAGACGCCGAAACGTGTTTTTGTAGAAGCATTTACATCTTTCAGTATCTTGAAATGGGTATCGCTTAATATTAGTCAAATCTATGCCGTTACTATATACTTTAATTCGCGTCTTAACTTCATTAATACCAACTCGGCCGCTGCTCAATGCAGAGTCCACATCAATTCTTGTGTGGTGGCAACTGGCTCGGCGCATTTTCTGCCGTCACTCCGCTGAATGGCGGGCGAGGATTATCTTGATCAAACGGCATTGAAGCACTTTCCGCCATTGCTTCACTGTAGCTAGGTGGCGCATCTTCGTATTCATCCGGCTGCGCAGCTGGCGGCGGCTGTACCGCACCACTAGGTCGTCGTAGAGGTAGTGGTGGTGCCTGATGCGCTGCCGTGCCGCTGGGGCCAGAGACAGATTGACGAGGCGGTAAATGAGGTCGCAGCTCGCCTTGCGAGAACCCTGCGTTTGTGGCTGCCTCGACGAGCTCTCTGGGTGGCTTGACTCCAGAAAACACCTCAACATTTGCGAAATGAAGTGGAAGTGTTATTGATTCGGGAATCCTCCTTGCGTTCTTCTTTCCTAGTCGCAGTGTCACAAGTATCTGAACCTCGTAGCGCCGACTTATATTGCACGTAGTGAAAGAGGGTGCCACAGTATTCGGCAGGGGCTTCTGGCTCCAAGGCTCGTCTGGCACTATAATCTCACTACCAACCTCACCAGTAGGAGTAATAAGCGGAACTTCCAGCAGAGGGTTCGATGCTATGACCCAGCGATTGCTCTTTTGCAGTATTTGCCCGTGCGCAGATAGGATAGTTGTCCCAATGAGGTCTATTTGGATAGATGTCAGGTAAACTTGCTGTGGGTTGTTGACGAGCTTCTTTGCAATCAACCGTAGCGGTACGGGGCGATTGCAAGTCAAGACCAAAGGATGGGGCAGGCGCGCAGACAGTTCGACTGACTGGGGCGGAGGTGGCGGATCCGCAGACGATTCGGACTCGAAGGAGTTCTTCTTGGTGCCGAACAAGGAGCCCTTTGGCTTACCCTGTGGTGACGGCGGGCGGAAAGCAAAGCTAAAGGGTCTGCGGGCAAAGGATTCTTGGCCACGAGGTGGCGACCTCGGAGGCTCAATGGGCATGAATTTGAACCCTAGCTGAAAGCGCCAATTCTCCTTGAGGATACCCGGTCGCTGCACCGTAACCTTGATGTAGTATCGGATTTCGGCGTCGTCGTATACACCAGATAACGACGGCGGCAGCGTCTTGGTCACATGCTTCAGGTAAAGCTGTTTCGTGCCGTCCATGAGCCGTATACCACGAGCACCAAACATGCCTGCACCAGAAAGACTCTGGTTCGCCAGAGAAGCCATGGCGTGAGAGTCGCTGCAGGCGTTATTTATCGGCATTTTGAATTTGAAAGGGAACTGATGTTGCCCGGGGTACAGCGGAAACGACCCAAAGGGACTGTTTGTGCTGCTATGGTACTCGTCAGGAAATACCTGCTGCACCTTGTATAGAATCTTATGGCTTTCCGAATTGATCGCGGCGTTTGACGTCGAATAGCCATCTCGGCCGTCCCGGCCATTTTCGAATGGGTACTGGGGTTGTAAGATTGTGTTGGACACGCCTTCGAGCTTAACGACGATGCCGCCTATTTGCTCGGGGCGATTCAAATTCAGGAGAACCTGCCCGCTGATGATGTCCAGATTCGTAAAGAACTCGGGCTGGTTGTCGAGAGTGATGCGCATCGACATGGTGGCGGTTTGGGCGCCGACGGTGGCGTCTGCTGTTCTCGGGAGCTGTCGCCAGATTGAAGTGGAGGGGTTCTTGGAGGGGTTTCGGAAGTGGGAACGCTGAAGACGTCGGGTAAAAATATCCTGGTATGGTTATGTGGCGGCAAAACCCATGCTACACGAGGGTGACGACGGCCAAGATGGTGCGCAAACGAAGCAATGCGGAATCGCGATTTGTTGGCATTGCCGTTGTGCCAAATCTTGGCGCGCAATCGGGTAGGCGGTCTGCTCGGCGAAAGATGCCTGCGACGCATCATCGCCAGCAAGACCCGGCCGCCAAGGCCGCGCAAGAGGGTGGCTGATAAGTGGGCTGATAGAATTCATCAGCAGTCATAAAGAGACGAGGCGCAGTCATCCAAAAAGTCGAATAACTGGTTGCCTAGTCAAACTGCCCAACCGAAGACATTGTTCCTCTGCGTCTGCTAACACTAATTTGCGCCCTGTTGAAAATGAGCAGATGATCGCCGAGGTAGCCGCCGTGGCACAGTGGTAAGAGTTATAATCCAGTGCTTATTGCTATAAATGCGCACGATATAGGCCTCGGCCGTATCATGTTGTGACACATTTTTTTTTTCGTCCTTGGACAGAGCGCTTTCACGACGAGGATCAGCCGGCCCTCGGTTCTCGTCTCTCGTCTCTCGTCTCTTCTCCCTTGCTACCTCGTTCATCAGCAACGAGGCATGCAAGCATTGACCACTTACTGGCAGCCGGGATACACGCCGCCGTTGCCCAAGTCGCACAAGCTTGCTCACAAACTTGTAATGAGCGAGAATTCGCGATGGGAATGTTGCTTTGCTTTTGCGCCCTGGCGTGGTTTCGGCGCACAAGAGTCACGTCGCTCAGAATTAATGTGATGTCAAATGGGAGAGCCACCGGTTTCGCAAGCGTCGTTGGCAGCTTTGATACAAGAAAGCCTTTCAAAGTAGCGGCCGGCTTTGTGGCACACTGTGACAACGCTTTGATGCTCATGTCTGTGATGATGTCGTTGCACCCGACAGGGCTGACGTGACTGGACTTAGCAAAAAGGATAACGGCCAGGGAGGCGCTCGTGGCGCTTTCAGCGATATGCATACACAAGTCCACAAGTCGATATGCATGTCTCACCCATGCAGGCAACCTCTCGCAGTCTTGGCACGACCGTTCCGTCTTGGGCTGCAAGACAAGGCGTCCGCTGGGCGGTTACCTCGGGCTTCTGATTCGCCCCTTTCCAGAATCGTGCATACGAATTGCAGCAAACTTGTGCTCGGGATCGCAGGTGGCGTGGTGCTATAGGTTGCGATTCTTTCGCCTGACAAGTTGACAGGTAACAACTGCTTGCATGCATATCAGTCCACTTCATGGGCAACGCCGGGCTGCCAAACGACAATTCTGCGAATGAGCGCGGGGATTATCCGCAATTTGATCGCGACAATCATGCCTCTGTACAATTCTAGGCTGGTTTTATGGCCGTTGTGCCCGTCAAAAATCGCAGGCCCCATGTACAGCCTTGTCACCTCAGCGTAGTCGCGGAGCACAGGCTGCATGTCGCGCTCCAGATGCGGCCGGGGTGCTACAATGCCAAATCACCGGGGACGTTCAACCAACGCGGCCCATCTACGTTTACTCTGGTATATCGCAGCCTAAGTAAATGAAAAGCTTTCTTTCTGAGCAAGTTACTACGTGCTTCGTGCCTCCATATGAGGGTTGTTGGCCATCTTGAATCAGAGTCGCGACGCTGCTTATATGCATCGAACCCATTCGAGGCATCCGTGGATTAGGAAATATCCCTGGCTCTGGGCCATATCTTTTCATCTGAATTGCGTGACAAGGGTTGCATGTGCGCCACGGCATCCATCCGCCACTTCCCCGTGGCCGCCTGTATCTTCTCGGTACATGCTGCCGCCATTTCATTTTAGTAGGCACTTCTCTCAGGCACAATAAGCGTATACGCGGATCTGTCCCCTACTCCTGGCGTCTTTTGTGATTGGTTCTCTGCATTCATTCCGCTTGGTCTCTCTTTGTTGCGTGTGGTGTGCGTATGTGTGTCGGATGCCGCCCCTCCTTCCCTCCATGCGGTCCTTCCGCTCCAGCAGTATATATATAATATAACCCCCTCCTAGATGCGCCGCTGTCTGCCCCATGAGTCAATTCTCGCAAAACGGCGTATCTATGAAAAGTGACACATTTCGAATATGGCAAGCGACTGCGGTTTTGCATGCCCTGTCGCTGGAGGATTCTACCTGTACCAACCCAGCATCAGCGGAAACAGTACTTTCATCGTCATTTATGGGTTAATATCTCTCGCTACCCTCTTCCTCGGTCGGCGACATGGGACTCGGCAATACTCTGCGCTGCTATACGTGTCTCACCTTCTCCAGATGCTCGCTTTTGTTGGCAGAGTTTTGCTTCATCGCGCGCGAGACTCACAACCGTACTTCTTCGTATTCCTAATAGGCACTCTCGTGGCACCACTGTTGGCTGCAAGCACGATACTCTCAGCCTTGCCTTCAATACTCATCAATAATGTGGGACAGCCACCCGATACTTGCAGATCAGCGGTGTTTCGAACAGGGTTGCACGGCCTGATCTTGTTGGCATTTAGCCTTGAGGTAGCGGGTGCTGCGGTGTTATGCTATGGCCAGAAGATGCTAGAGGCAAGTAGCACGTCAACTGTCTGCCATGGGCTACTGCTAACGGGAAAGAAAAGCAAACAAGATCTGTCATCATAGTTGTCGTCGGGCTCAGCGTGCAGACTCTCGGTCTTACACTCATGCTGGGAATATGTGCCAAGGCATCGTATCACGGTCACAAAGGTGCTCGCGGCCAACATATTCCTGATGGCAATGAGTCATCTCGCCGAGGTAAGCCGACAAGCTCTATTCTGGCTGTGGTGTACGATACTTACTGCCAACAGGACTGGAAGCTGCCGGAGTGGCCCTTTTGATACATTCAATATATCGAATCGTCGAGATGGCGTTGGGCGTATCTGGAACTTTGTTCCAAAGCGAAACCGCCTTTATGGTGGTCAATGGAGCACTGCCGCTCGTTTATTGCATGCTGCTGCTCATATTCCATCCGAAAACCGTCGCTTGGTCATCGTCAGCCTTGATATCACCCGCATCCGAGAAGCGCAAGGAACGACCGCCACCACTTACTCGTCAAGACAGCCACCCGGCACATCATGGATACTCGCCAAACATTGCACTACAACTTTCGCCCATGTCTCAAAAGAGTCAGGCGTCAAACCCTCCAGAAGTACCTTCGGGATCTCCTGGGCTGCCAGCCAACCCGCGACCAGCGAATAAGTTGACGCCGGCGCCCACGGCAGCGCCGACTCACAATAGCAAGCCTGCATCGACACAAATTTTGGCTACACAAAATAGTGCGGGCCACCATGGGATAGGTAGAGGAGCCAGCAGACGTGCCCGCGGCCACAACGTTCCTGAAGGGATGGTGAAAAAAGATGACGTGTGGTAGCAATACAGCCATGCCTAGCTGTCCATGGTCATCAGCTCGGTTGAGCACATTCCTAGTACGGGGTATATATGTACCTCGTAGCCCTAATAACTGGCATTTTAACCAATGGAGGGGAAATGATTTAATGATTTACTTTCAAGTATTATAGTATAACAGTATTAGAAGCTCATGAAAAAGAGATTTACTTGCTAGGTTTACTGAGAAGGGCCATGAATCTAAAACGGCGGCAGCACATGGCAGCTGCTAGAACCAGGTTTCACTTTAGTAATCAGTCGAAATTAGGAAGGAAATTATTGGCAAATTTGTGCCGATTTTTCCGATCACATCTGTTATCCGCTCGGCCGCTGGGCATCGTCACACTCCACCCAGTGTCGTCTGAGCAGAGCCAGGAGGTGGACTCTCATCGTCAGCCTCCATCCACAGAGGGGCAGTTTGGCGTCAACACTAGCTCTGAACTTGCCGTCATCACGACCATGGTATTCATATGATTGTGAATGGTTTTTATAGTGATGGTCGTGACCTTGTTCGGGAGCTGGAGGCGGGTGAGTTGAGTATCAAAATGTAACGTGAGTTTGGGCTCCGCCACGAAAAGGGCTCAATTAATATTGATGAAGACAACAAGCCGTCTCCCACTAGATGGGCTCGACGCTAAATTTTAGGGATCAGCTGTCTGTCAGTTTCAACGTAGTATGAGGGCGACTACTGTGTTTGTATGTCACGAAAATTGTAATCAGCTCGAAACAAACCCAGTGGCAGCGATTGTCTCGTGGAAAGGGCTAGCTAGATGCGACTTCCATGAGGCCATGATCTGTCAACAAGCGGCCGCCAGTGACGCGTTGATGCCGCTTCAAAACTATAACCTAGCACTTGGTAGAGTTTTTTTTTCTTTTCTATTTCTTTTTCTATTTCTTTTTCTTTTTTTCCCCCTTCGCGTTTGCTTGTCAAAATAAAGTTTGTAAAAGGAAGAGCACAGCGTATTATTAGCTTACCGCGGCCCAGACCACCCTCCCCGCTGGTGTGTAGCTCAGATAATGGTAGGGCGGGCCGTCAGATTTAGTTCTGCGCGCTGCGACCTGCTGCAGCGCACGGCGCGCTCGACACTTGCTCATATTAAAAAAAAAAATGAGCCACCGTAGAGTCTAGGTCGAAAAGTCCAGACTGGACAAGAGAGCTAGCTAGGCCCAAGCTAGATGAGGCGGTGCCGCATTAACAGAAAGCTTGTCGTCGGGGAGAGCGAGTCCTCGGGTCGCGCGCGCTACTGCACGCTTCTTTTGGCCTTACGCCTGTAACTACCACATCCAAGGTGAATGTGTGTCTATGTGTGTTGTCGGTGTTGTCGAAAGAGTCAAGGAGAAGCTTTATAACACGTTGCGCGGGCGAGAAACAACTTTGCGTGGCACAGTCCCCACGGTATAAGTAAATTCGTGCAGCGCTAAATGTCACTTGTCACCAGCCCGATGGAACGCCTATTTATTAGAGGCAGTCCGATGGAACGCCTAGAAGTAAGTAGCCCTTGTTTAATACGTCGGGCTGTATTTCGTCATTTAATCTATCCGAGTATGCTTCCTTCCCGATTAGGACCAAAAAGGTCCCCAGCTTTGGGGCGTCCAGTCATGTTAGCTGCATATTGGATCATATGACCATGATCATGTCAACATCAACGCCACAATTACAGAGAGACAAATAAAAATTGTCTGGAAAACTTTGAATTTGTCCTCTTCAGTATCTGTGTCGTTTATCTCGAAGACCATCATCAACAGCGTTACATTTGAGTGGGATGGCCATTGGCCTCCACTTTCCGCGTGTCGACTTGAGGCTCCTCCTGGGCAAACTGGGTCAATGGTGTTTCAATGCACCAGCACATAAAAATCTTGTTTGATGACGATCAGTCCCCATAGGCCATGGACGAGTCGGGGACGACGTACGTAAGCCAGTGTAGCCAAGCAAATTGAGGCCGCCGCCGCGCAATGCCTAGACATAGTACTTGTGCTATTGTAACGTGGTCTGCTGGGGGGGGGGGGGGGGGGGGGGGGACCGCTACACTTGCCGACCAGATGAAACTGATGACCCAAAAGAGGCCAATTTATCAGAGGACTGCTTTCATCAAACAACAATTTTTTTTTCTCGTTTATGCGTGTCAAAGTGCGTGCTCAGTATCATGATTTGCAAGTGGTCCGGCCGAGCGTTCACCGCAAACAGCTTTCTCAGCTCAAAATGGGACGTTAGAGTTGCGCTTGGCAACACAGACTACGCTCCACCGCACCAACAAAGTCTCTTCTCTATGTAGCCGTCTTGATTGGGAAAATTATCCGCTCGGCCATGTGTAGGCGAGGTAGTATGAAAATGTATCAGGTTCCTTTTGGGGGGCCCCCTTATCAGATGTGTGTGGGTTGGCTGGGCATGAATAGTTTAGCTTGCACATCATGCCCCGGCAGTCCTTGCGGCTCTGCTTCTCGAATCTGAGCAGTAGCTACGGGTACATATTTAGTAATACTGCACCGCATAATGGCCAACTCGCTTCTAGTTTCCGTTCATATACAAAGCAGAGCCCATTCTTGATGCACCTCTATGATCTGGACCCGAATCTGATAAACATTGTCCATATGCATCTTTGAATTGGTTCCTTCAGCTGATTTATTACTCATTCACTCAATCAGGGTATTAATTCCAGACTTTCACGTCATATTTCTGCAGAAATTTGACTCATTCTTCGCTGTTTGAATCTCGAGGCAGGCGCTGGTTCGTTCCTGTCTTGCTCGACTTCATCACTTCCATTGCTGAGGCGCAACATTACAACACAGTCACTGCCCGTCTCTGGCTGAGCCTGCTACCACAGGTACAAAATCGCTGCCAAGCCCTGATATCCATCCTACGAGGAATCTCTTATTGTCTATCAGCACTTTCATTTTCGTCGTCAGCCACAAAACCGCTATAATGGCCGAATACCCCCCAGAACTCGTCAAAAAGTTTATCATACGGCACGAGGACAATGTCAAGGCCGTAGAGGGCTTTGCATTCTCTACGCTTGCTATTGTTGGCATCTTCGTTCTTCTTCATCTCTCAAGAATCACATATCATGCACTTGGGCGTCGGCAAAAGGGTAGCCGTGCCCTGGCCGTGTTGTCGTCACCCATGAGGTACGTGATAATGTCAGTCAGGTACGAAAAACATGAAAGCTAACAAGTCAGGGTCGCTCGAAAACTGTCCAACCACTCGTTTCCATTCTTCCCTTCGACAGGGCATGCCGTTATCGTTGCCATTTACGTTGCACTCAACATTGTGTTTCTCTTTGCCTTTATGAACAACAGCAATTTTGGCTTTGAAACCAACTTCGCGTCCAGAACCGGATGGTATGTTTTGAGTGATGTACTGACTGATGTTTTTATCTGACCTGACCTCGATAGGCTTTCCATGATCAACATGCTCTTCTCTGTCTTCCTGGCGCTGAAGAACACTCCTCTGGCCTGGCTTACAGCCTGGTCTTACGAACGTCTCAACATACTGCACCGATACTCTGGCTTTTTTGCAGTCTTTCACATGATTCTTCATGCCGCCAGCTATTCGGCCTACTTTGCTAGTAACGGACAACCCTTCATGCTTACCATGCAGACTAGCATCTACGGCATCATCGCTGGAGGATCCTTCTTTCTGCTTGGTGTCAGTGGCATTGTGCTACGCCCATGGTGGTATGAGCTATTCTACTACGTCCATGTCGTCTTCTTTGCCCTCGCCATTGTCATGATAGGTCTTCATCAGCCTTCGATCGTTGACGGCTTTCTGGTCATCACGATTCTCACTGGTGTCATTTGGGGACTTGACAGACTCCTTCGCGTGGCTAGACTTTTCTTCAGCAGCGCCAACAACAAAGTTACTCTCACTCCGCTTCCCCATGGTGGTACCAGAGTCACGCTCGCTAAGTCACCTCTGGGGGCGCTTTCTGGAAAGCATTGCTTCTTGTGGATCCCAGCCATTCGCACCTTTGAGACGCACCCGTTTACCATTACTGCCATGGATCCTCTCGAGTTTGTTGTGACAGCGCATGACGGTTTCACAAAGGAACTACACGATCGCGCTCTTGCGCAGCCTGGAGTCGAGATTCACGCGGCCGTCGAAGGCAGCTATGGTACATTCCCGACGCCCTCAAACTTTGACCATATTGTTTTGATTGCTGGCGGAACCGGTGCTAGCTTCACTTTCGGGGCTGCCTTTAATGCTCTCAAGCAGCTTGGTCAAAAGAATACTTCCAAGATTATGTTTGTCTGGACTGTCCGCCATCGATGTAAGTTCGACGCCGCCGTCAACGCCGCTTCCGCGCTAACCTGGAAAAGCTATTCTGAGCTGGTACTCCAGCCACCTTCACACACTCGGCAATGACAGCCGAGTATCTGTCCACATTTTCGTCACCAAGGGTCGGGATCTGAGCAGCAGTGGTGGAAATTTCACGACTGGATCTGAGGATTGGGAGCTGGACGTCTTCCGGACGACTTCGAGAACTCATATCGCGCCTGCCAACATGTCCTCTGCCTCAAGCATTAGAAGTGATGTCGAAAAGGGCATGACGACTGTTAATGAGTCGGAAATGGACAGCTACGCCGGTCTTCCGATTACGTGGAAGCGTCCAGATGTACCGGCCATGATTCGTGGCGTAGTCGCAGAGGCAGGCAGAGATCAGAGTGTCCTGGTCATGGGCTGCGGGCCAAGCGCGCTGATGACACAGGTTCGCAACACTACAGCAGCGTGCATTCGGTCGGATGGTCCCGCTGTAGAGTTGCATTGTGAGCAGTTTGGCTGGTAAAGTAGTGTGGTTGGTTTTATTTGGTTGACGAGGTAAACGATGTATGCAGAACGTTATTTGTTCGACCTTTTCTTGCTATATCTTTAGTAGAGCTTTCTGGATAGATACTAGACTTTGCTTCTTTTCAATATTCCTACGTAAATTATCTGCATGGGTACTGCTATTCCAGACGTTTCTTCTTCAATACATGGATGATCCATCTGACTCTTGATACATGAATGAATGATCTGCAGGCTCTCAGACACGTCGAGTTTTGGAACACTTCCAGGCAACCAATCACGATTAACCACCAACCAACCATGCTGTTTCATCTTTTTGCCCACACCACCCGCTGCCTGCCTGCCCCTCTGCCGCGTTGCGTTCGTTGTTATCTGCCATCCGTCATGCTTATCAATCGCTCATCAGTCCCAACCCTGGCAAGATGGTACCTGAAAAAAAAAAAGAAAAGAAAAAAAAAGAAACCCCTGCGCAGAGCTTTGCGCACGGCCACCGTCGCGGTCCGCGCGCCACAAGGTTATGCATGGACCGTGGGTTGAGAGAGAAAGAGAGAGTTTCCGCCGCGATGATCAACCTTTAAAAAAAAAAGAAGAGTTGATTTTTCCTTTTCAGTAATTAAGTAAAGAAACATGAAAGACCCCCCCCCCCATGTCCAAGCACCCTCAAAACCTTAAACGCCAAGGCCCCTGCATAAAAGGGGCCGAAAGAAATTCAAAAGGGGTATATAGTTGATGACAAGTAATCCTCCAGGCCAGTGCGCCAGATGAACAGTTCCAATATAAAAACTCCGAACCCGAGATAGTGTAATCCATCCGTTACTTGCTCAAGTCGCATTAATAGAGACGTATCAGTCTCTAGAGATATGCCCTATGCATGTGGCCCGTGGCGACTTTCTCAAACCGCGTTCAAGAGACGCATCATCTAGGCACGCTCATATGATCTGTGGCACGCATTATTCATCCCTGCTGGTAAAAGGCGTATCATTGTGGTATTGCCCATCAGCTTGCTTCTCCTCATCTCTTCCTGCCTTTTGCAACGGACCTTGGGGGTCAATGAGCAGTTTGGCGTCCTTTGAAATGTCCAGGTAGCCCGAGCACACAATCATGGCCACTTGCAGGGCGACAATGACGACCCAGGCCCTGTGTATCGTGCCGCATTCGCGAACGACGCCATACATGATGAAGGGGAAAAACGCCGGCCCGGAGCCTCCCATGGTGATGAATGCCGCCGCCCGCTTCGTCCTTCGGCCCTGACCGCGCAGACCCATGGCGAAAACGAGTGGCCAGATGGGGCCCTCGCCAAAGAAGAAGAGCATGGCCGGGATGATGATGAGGTCGGGGTCTGACGGCCGCAGCGTGACGAGCAAGACGGAGGCGATGAAGCAAAGGACGACGCACATCGTCAGCAGAGTGCGCGGCTTGGGGACGAAGCGTACGCTGACCGAATAGTAGCAGGTAACGGCGGCGAGGATACGGGATGCCGCAAAGACAGACTGCCCACACAAGAGGTAGTCGGCAATGGACAGATTGAGGCCTTGCACTCGCTGCGGACGGACGGTCGGTCCGGTAGTCGCAGTAGCGGACCGTTGTTGAACGCGGATAATGTTATCCCGGGCGTGGGCAGCATCAGTCGCCACCAAATTACCAAACCAGATGGTGTTACTTTCCTGCGTGGCGACGTAGAGATACTGCACCAGCACGGCTAGGCTGAGAGTCACGGTGCGCAGCTGCAAGCCGAACCAGGACTTCTTCTTGGGATCAATGGGGATGCGTCTGGTTGACTCTTCGAGCTCCTGGTCGCTCACCTCGGGCAGGGGCATGTAGTAGAAGAAGAGGCCGAGGGCGGCGCACAGCAACGTGATGCCGAGGTATGTCCACTGAACATTGATCAAGCTGACGTGTTGGTGGTCTGCCTTTTGCAGTCCTGCAAAAAAGACGCGCTGGGCAAGCAGCGCGCTGAGGACGCTGCCAATGGCTTGCACAGCTTGCGCTAGCATCAGACGCAGCTCGCCGTAAGCGTGCGGGCCGCAGAGAAACATGAAGGAATTGGCGGCGACCTCGAGCACAGACAGACCGAAGCCAACAATGAAGCTGCTGAGCATGTAGCCGCCGTACGAGTTGGTCACCGCAGACGGCCAGAAAATAATGGTGCCGATGCCGTAGATGGAGAGGCCCAGCATAAAGGTCACTTTGTAGCCACCGATATTCTCGGCCTCGTTTTTGGAATGGCGCTTGGAGCGGTTATGTTCGTCGCGTCGAAGAATCCATTCTCCAACCAGAATCGGGCCGAAAAAGTATCCCCCTCCAAAGTAAGCACTGGTCAAACCGAGGGTCTGGGCTGTCGACATGTCGTTGACTTCTGCAATGGCCATGTTAAGCGTGTTGAGTAGCCCGTACGAGAAGCCCCAGAGCAGGAACAGAATAGCGACCAAGGTACCGTATTTGAACGAATCTCTAAGATTCGTCCTTAGCATACTCTTTGGTCGCTTCATGTTGACAAAGCCAAAGTAGACGCCGTTTTCGGATACACTGCCCGAGGAACTGTGGACGTTGCTCTGTATGCGAGCGGGTCGGAGAGAATCACGATTGATCTGATCGATGCGCATGCCCGGCGTCGTGATGAAATCGATGGCCGTCACGGCAGCATCGTCGGCATCCGGTACATCATCAGTCGCTGGAGGCGCGGCGCCTGGTTGCGGCATCGCAGGACGGTTTCGCGCCGTCGCCGCAGCGCCGCCTTGACTGTCGGATTCGCGGTCACTGGGACTGCTCTTGGACACGAGCGCCGTTCGCGTGCGGTTGGGGTCGTAGAGCATGGCAGGGAGCAGTCGCACAACCAGCGGCTTGAGAGTCGGTATACAGGCGCAGGCAATTCCGACATTGACTTCAACAACGCTCCACATGAGCGACAGCGAGGCGTTGTAGGCGAAATCGGCATGCGCACCAAAGCGAGAGTCGTTGCTGCTGCGACCAAAGTTGTCGCGGGAGCCGATGGCTTGTTGCAGGTAGTAGATGCGAATCACATCAACAATGGTGACAAAGATGCCGATTGTAAATGTCAATATAAGGATAGTCTTTTGCCGCGGTGGCAATCGCATGGCGGTCAGCACGGGGATAGGGAGGGCGAGAATAGCGAGATCGGTGACAATATTGACCGGCGACGCGCAGATGAACTCGGTAAGAAGCGGAATGCATTTGGCGGATCCTTCGTAAAAGGCCATCCAAGCGGCATAGATGGGGGAGCATTGAAAAATGTTCATAAACGTCAGGACGGTTCCCGCGAGGTTGACGACGATGAGGGTGAACCACGAGGCATATCGTAACACGAGTTGAGTGTTTTTTGCGAGTCGCAAGTAAAAGATTAATATGCTAGTCTTGGCAGCCATCAATGCGGGATTCTATTATCCATGTTAGTTTTCGTTTTACAATGGTATATTGGCTGCGCATACATATAGGATGGAAAAGACATATTCGCAACGGCGAAGAACGGTCAGGTTGGCAGGGTCAATGTCTGCGTCATGTTTGCCGAGTCCGTTAAAAGTACCAAGGGCAACGGTAAAGGAGAGGAAAAAGGCAATGACCCAGGCAAGCATCATGATTCGGTCGCCCCATGTCACCTTTTTGACAATCAAGAACCGGCAAGCCATGCGCGCAAAGACAAAGACGGAGGCGATGATGAGCGTAACGACGGTGACGGCAAAGACGGCTGGGCCACGATTGGGCACATGCCGGATTTTGTCGTCGTCCATGGCTGATCGAGTGCCTACATGCGGACGGGCGCGGCGGGCAAAAGGTCTAGGTGGTGGTTATTTCCGGGCGTTGAAGGGTATTTTTTGGCGCTGAAGCGGCGGAAAAGCTGAAATTGATGTTTTCTGTTTTCGGGACAGCGAGTTTCGCTAACGGAACAGAGTGCGAGATGCCATGATCGCAAACGCGCCTCGATTGACGATTTTCAATACGTGCTTGTTCCGACGAGAGAGTAGTGAATTGAGAAGGTTAATAAGGGAGAAAGAAAGGGTAGAAATGAGAATTCATCCTTTTTTTTTGTCGCGAGCACGAGGGAGCTTGGTTATGTGTGCGCGCGCGACCGCCGGGCACAGGCGGTGATGGAGGTGGCGTTGTGTCGTGGGGAACCACCCAGCTTTTCCGAAGTTTGGCGCTTGTCCGCTTTGGCAACGATGTCCACACAGCGCGAACTCGTGGGTGACGAAGATGGAGGGGCGTTATGCGCCAGCGAGGATGATTATTATTAGGATTGCAGCAGATCGACGAGAGATGATTTTGCTATTAGGCAGCAGGCAGGCTTTGTTCTTGCAATGAAAGTAGAAAGGAAAAAAGAGAACGAGGTGGCGCCGAAGAAGAGCAAGCGGGGAGCAAGCGGGGAGCAAAAAGGCGCAAGACTGGACCAACAGCCAGCTTGTACAAAAAGTTGCATGACAGGTCATTCATTTAAACAACTCCGCGGGGGGGCGCTTCTTCATTTGCTGCACTGGACTGAACGGACTGGACTGGACGCAGACGTCGATCCGCTCCACTGCGCCCAGAGACTTGAGCCCATCCGCCCATTCATCTACCGAGTACAGATTTACCAAAGCTTGCAACAAGCAAGCCACCAGCTATTTGAGCCGAGCCATGTCCGGCCGGTTACAAGGAGCTAGGCAGACGGTTTGGCAGACCGCTAAATACATGTCGTCACTGAGAACCCTTAGCGCGGCAGGCTGAGGCATGTGCCTGAAGTGGTTAGTTTGTAGCCTAGGCACCTCTGTAAATGGGTCACTTATTTGCTGCCTAACTAAGGTACGGAGCATTGAATCGTGTAGGAAGTAGGCTTTGTCTCAGCCAAGTCGATGAGACGCGGGGGGGCGCGTATCTGGCACTTGTCGGCACTCAAGTATTGCACAAAGGAGCGAGAGAAACACAGAGTCGGCCGTCGTACTGACTCGAGCTCTTGTATCAACCGGCCTCTGTCCGTTGTAACACCCTTATTTGCCGCCTGTACCTGTCATGGCTGAGCCAAACTACCTAACAGGCAGGGCGCCCACCAGCGCCCGGAACACAGTGTAATACCAGTTCCAGCAATGCACCGCTTCACCGGTCCGACAAGTTATGAAACATTCAAAAGTCACTCACCTTCTTGTACAAGAAACGCAGCTGTTTCTCCTGCAGCATCTTTACATGGCCAGCCCAAACTACTACTTCGTAATGTCGATGAGACACTAGTTGATGCACCGTCGACCAGCGGCCATCTACCCCTGTCGTAGCCGGGCGTCTTGTTCTTTGTTCGGTTGCCAACATGGTTCATCGTCGGCGGGCCATGCAGGGCGTGATTTGCTAGCACACATCTCGGTGCTATTATTAGAAGCGCCCAGAAAAGGCGCCTTTTGTGTTGCCCGCCTCAAGTTGCCAGCTTACATGCGAAGCAATCACTCAAAGGTCTCGTCACCAATAACCCTCCTGTCAAGGTCAAAGTCAAAAAATCGAGCATTTCAATGCTCAAAGTCCAATGCTACAAGATCAATGCTGCAAAGAAAAAGAAAAAAAAAGAAGGCCGGCGGATTAAATACAATACTGTCGTCGAGAAGCGAGATGGAACATGGAATCATGAGCTCCAGGATCCGTTTACAGTCGGCCTCAAGTCCACAAGGACCGTATGTACACCAAGACGTGCCATTTACTTCTCGTCGCGACACTGTTCACTCGCTTGTGAGTCTTACCTCTGTCAGGCCCCTTGAAACGAAACGAAAACAACGAAAACAAAAGACACACACAGAGAGTATGCGGCAATGCCTCGTTGCCAGAAAAAAAAGCAAAGATGGCCGAGGACAAAAAAGCAATGCCCAGTATGAGAATCGAACTCATGATCTTCTCATTTCACCGTATAAATACTAGTGAGACGCTATACCACTTAGCCAACCGGGCATTTGGTGCTTATTAATTTTCGGGGACTTATTGAACTTTATCAATTTGGTCTACTACGGACCCGCCAACAAAATGTAAAGCTGCTCCTTGATGTAATCGTTTTATTTGTGCGTTGTATTACAAGTCATATACTTTCAGGCTGTCGCTAGCTGCCTTCTTTTCAAAAATCTTCGTATGTTGCACAACCACGAGTTTCGTTGGTGGACTTGGACTCTCCAGCAGCCTTGCAGTTCCACCAATCGTCCTCGACAACAGTGAGACATTGCAACGGTGCTGCGCTCCTTGTGCCACGACCCTTCTCGAAGAATCTGACAAGATTCTATGCGCACTCCTTTGCCTAAATCTTGCAGATTACCTGCAGCTTGGATTAACTAGTGCAACGATGCTAGTCTCGCGATATAAATAATTCCACATGCCATCCTTGTCGCTGTCAGCGGCCTGTGGGTCGGGGCGTGTTGCCAAGATGACTTATGACAGATGCTGAGGAAACATGCTTCGAGAGACCCAAATGCCTGTGAGGAGAGAAAAGCCTATTTTGAGATTCTTTCGAATCTACTGACCGCTCGAAGAAATGTGCATCCTTGGGGACCTGTGCGTGATGAGGCATGTTTAGCTGGGACCACCTGAAGTCCAAGTCAGAGAGACGGACACGACGAGGCTGCGGGTGTGTTACTTTCGTGGCTATAACCGTTATGACAGAGCTTGAAACATCAGCGTCCTTTTCTCAAGAAAATTCGTCCAATTCCATGTATTGCGCAAATGGCCACTGCTTCTAATCATACATGATTGATATATTCCGAGTTCTGGGCTGAAGCATGCTACTACCCGAAGTATCAGTTTAGCAAATTGCGTAGGCCTTGGCGAACCCATGATTTACTTCCGCTATATTCTGAGCTTCAATCTTTATTTATTCAGTTTTACATATTGTTCTTCTAGTTTTACGCTAGTATTCTCAACCGCGCAGCTTGTCTCAGGTCAAAGAGGTCATCGCAGGCCCACTTTCAACACACCCTTTCTGGCAGCTGTGCTTAACTACAATCTTCACGTCGCCACTCCATTGTCTGCGCCGAGGTCAGCGCAATTGACTTCTCAATATGCGTAGAACCCAAAGCAGAGACTGCTCACAGGCAGAGGCGGAACACTCTGCGCTCCTAGGAGACGCAGGGCGCTCTCTCGGCGCCTCGGAGCGCGCCGACGTCAGCCAAGAGGACGACGACGTGCCAAACGTCCCCGTCTCAGTCCGGAGAGGCATCGCCATATGCCTTGGTCTCGGGATCTTGGTGTTCCTCCAAGGTGAGCGAGCGCCATCTTCTCATCAATTCCTCATTCTTTCCTCTTCTTGCCTGTCTACAGAAAAAAAAAAAGCTAACGGCGCCGCGCCCGCCCTCGTAGCGACAAACATGTCGGGCATGACCATGATCCAGGGCCAAGTCGCTGAAGACATTGACGCACACGTCGCCGCGTCATGGTTCACCGCCGCCTACCTCATCCCGCTGTCCTCGTTTGCGTCGCTCGCCGGGCGCCTAGCCACCGTCTTCTCCCCGCGCAGCCTGGTGCTGCCCGTGGGCGCGCTCTACGCCTTGGGGTCGCTCGTTACGGCCTGCGCCACGTCGTTTGCCGGGCTCGTGCTGGGCCGGGCCATTGCGGGCACCGGTGGCGCCGGCGTCCTTGGGCTCTGCGTCATCTTCGTGCTGGAGCTGACGACGAAGCGCCGCAGAGGGCTGTTTATCGCGCTGGTCAACACTGGCTTTACCGTGGGCGTGGCGTTTGGCGCGGTCGTGTACGGGGCTCTCTTTCCGGTGATTGGATGGGTGAGTTTTGCGACCTTGTTTCAGCTGTATATATGGACTAATGTGTTTTTTTCTCTTGGTATTTAGAGACCTATTTTCGTGTGGCAGATTCCCGTGTCGCTTATCGGAGGCATCATTTCCTTCATCAGCCTCCCGAGCAACATGCAGGCTGGTGGTGGTGACCTGCTTCATAAGCCCGGTACCACAAGGCAAAAGCTGGCTCGCATCGACTACCTGGGAGCATTCTTACTTGCAAGTTACCAGTTAATCTGGCATTCACGGCTCTCAATGCTAACCCGACGAGTCAGTGCTTCACAATCGTGGTATTCCTCTACAGCTTAGCCGCCGACATCCACCCCGTTAGTCTCGGCCTCTCTCTCGTCTCCCTCGCCGCCTTCCTATTCGTCGAGTACCGCATCGCCGCCGACCCCATCATCCCGTTGCCGGTACTGTCCTCGCGCGGCGTCCTCTTCTCATGCCTCGCGCAGCTCGGGCTCATGACCGCCCGCTGGACGCTGCTCTTCTACACGCCCATCTACATGCTCGCCGTGCGTGGCGCGGCGCCCGCCCGCGCCGGCTCCATTCTGATCCCCACCAACGCGGGCTTCGGTATCGGCGGCTTCGTAGTCGGCGCCCTGCACATTCGCCGCGCCGGCTCCTTTTGGCTGCCGACGCTCGTCGTCAGCGCCGTCTTCGCCCTCAGCCTGTTTCTCATGGGCCTGGTCGCGGCGCCGACCGCACCGATGCCCCTCTTTGTCGCCGTTGTCTTCCTCAACGGCCTCGCGACGGGGGCCTCGCTCAACTACAACCTGGCGCACTTGTTGCACCTGTCGTACAAGGACACCGAGTACGTCAGCACGAGCTTGCTCGGCACGTTTCGCGGCTTTGGCGGCAGTTTTGGCACAGCCATTGGCGGCGGCATCTTTTTGCGCACTCTGAAGCAGGCCCTGACGGTCGGTTTTGCGGACCTCGAGGGCCATCACGGGAACGAGAGCTTGTCGCCAAAGCACGCGCGCCTCGTCACCAGGCTACTGGGCGCCCCGGGGCTCGTCTTCTCGGGGGAACTGAACATCGAGGAGCAGCATATTGCCATAAATGGATACAGTGGTGCCATTAGGGATGTCTGGCACGCCGCGGCGTTACTTTCTGTAATCTTCGTCGCTGTACAAGCGGCTGCAGGCTGGACAGCACCGGAAGACCGTAACAACAAATGTGACGCGGAGGAGGAGAACCAGGCTCATGCCGCATTATTAGAGAACGAAGGTGTCGGAGAGGCCTGACGGACAATAAAATGTACACTGAAAACATCAAACTCAATTTATCGTAATTCTCTATCATAGATTTGCGTATAACCCGTAGATTCTCGTTACTATTAGGCATCGTGATGGCATCAGGTTCGTTATATATATATATACACGTTTACTCTGAACGCTCAAAATTGCTTCCCAGAGATCTTGCCGTGTCTTCCACTTACTAACAAATACAGAACAAGGTATCAATATAATGTACATACACCCCGTGCTAGGCAACTGTCGCTTAGCATGTCTCAACACCGGCTCCGGCGAGGAAGAAATCAAGCTCCCCTGTTCCATCATTGAAACGTTGCTCATTTTCGGCAAGCTGCTCGAGAAGCGTCAGAAACGGGTCTTTTTCCTCGACTTGAGTTCCGCTGCTGCCTGTGTTGCTCTTCGTGCCCGGACTCGGTATAGTGGCGCCAGCCTGGTTCCCAAGCTGGACATTTGTATCGACTCCGTGCCATACGACTGGGCTATCATATGCGCTGGTCGGAATGGTGCCAAACATGGGGTCATACGACGGCACTTCGGATCCCATCATCGTCTGGCTGCCAATTATTCCCATTGGGGCACTATGGCCATGTGTCGAATTGTATGCCGGCGGGTTCATCATGCTGATCAACGTCGAAGATGGCGCTGTGGAGAAAGAATATTCATCCATTACTGCTGTGCTGGCTCCAACGGTAGTCAAGGGGTGTTCTTCCATTGGGCTACGCACAGTACTGATATGATGTGCTTGAGATTCGTGACCGTGTGTTTGTACAGCGCTTTGCGGGAAAACGTCCAATGTCTGTCCAGAGTGGCTAGACAACACTCGGTGGTGATAGGATGTAGAACTTTGAGCAGTGGGCGTCGGCGATATAAGCATCATTTCTGTTCGACTTTGGCTTAATGTGCCCGTATTCTTGCGCTTGAGAGCTGACTGCTGTGGTATGCCACGGAGAACTTGGGCGGCATGGGGATCAGCCATGAAAGCTGTTGGAACATTCTTCAGATCGAGGCTCGCGCCGTCCATTCGACGGCCACGTCCATCTAATCCCCCAACACTCGAATATCTGTCGAAATAGTCTTCAAGCTGGAAACCTGGCGTGTATCTTATCGAGTTGGAAGCGAGCGCCTTGATTAAATCTCCGTGCATCGCGCAAACCGCTTCTAAATCATCCCGATGCTGTTCCACGACACCCCAGATATATCGCAAGTCACCAAGCATTGCCTTTGCTTTCACCAAGAGATTCGAAGAGGGCAAAAAGACGGACATGTCGCCGTTGTTAGGCGACGGGGTGTAGTGAGTTCCATGTACATGAACAGTTGCTGCGGTGAAGATGCAGTAGCCAGTCATGCATGGCATCTGGATGCGTCCAAGTTGCCTTGCGAGGTCTGCAAGTTCCGTGACGGCATTGGCATGTAAAAAGCACATGGTAGTGGCCTCTATCTGCCAGGACTGGTGTTGACCATTTCCAGAGAGCTCGGCAAGATCGATAGGAAGAAATGGACGGTAAATCAGGCAGTGGATAAGATGGTAGAGCATCTTGCTCATAAAGAGAACTGTAGCATCAGACTGGCCAAAGAGTGAATCAACAGTAGCAAAGGCATTATTCGTCCCAGAGGCCCAAGTGTCGAGTTCATGTCGAATTTTGGACAAGCCTGAAAGTGCATGCCAAGGAAAATGCGAATCCCCCTTGACACCCCCAGCCGCAAGATATTTACTTGTAATGCCGAGGATGCGACAAATGTCAATGAACATGCCGCTGCTGCCCTGGGACTTTGTTCCACTTCCTTGCAAATACCGCAGGTTTGAGCCACAGTCAAAGAATTCTCCTTCGATGTGTGCTGAGCAAGGATTAGACGTCCATGAAGGGAGCCGAAGGATTATGGCATCATCGCTAATAAGACCAGGTCGTTTCGAGCCACATGCTAGTAATCTGTCCAGAAGGTAACAGGTCCAGAATAGCCTGCGTCGCGTTTCGCGCTCCATCTGCGTGGTGATTCGGATTTGGGAGTCCGTTTCTCTGTGTAGTTCGAGACCAAGCGCCATGGCAATAGCATTTGTCAGTACCATGTATGCCTTAGCGCCCTTGCCTGCCATGATGAATGTGAGGCATATTAAGAGCAACGACTGTGTTGCTTCCACTGATACCTCGTCAATGTCGATGGCCTGACGCGCGCGGGTAGCCAGATCCAGACTCAGCTGAGCAGCTGCCAAGTGGCCGTTTGGATGAACAGAAAATCTGATTGTATTAGTTGAAGAAACCAACTATGAGAAAAAGTCTAACAAACTTAGCCACCGCAGCACACATAGCATCGACGAGGTATTGTGGTAGCTGCTTGAGTTGAATACGTTGACGAACCGTAGCTTCGTCGAGAATAAAAAAGGGTTTGCCATGTGCTGTCTCAAAGTATGCATTGATGAGAGTCTCAATCGGTACAGTAGCATTGCCAGTGGCCGACTGGTCGCTGCATGTACAATTAGCTACGGACAGTCTAGAGACACAGGCAGGAATCGTTGGCTCTTACGCAGAAGATTGCCGCGACGTCGCGAACACAGGCTCGACGCTTCCGGAGGGAGACTTTTCTAGTGCTTTAGCAATGCGCTTCGACGGTGGTTCGTGAGTTTCTGAACAGCCTGCTTCTTCGATTTCGGCGCTCTGGACCTCTGACGACTCGGCGCCGGTATCTGTGCCATCTTCCGCATTCTTCTCTTTCAGCTTGGCCTCAAGACCGTCGACGCGCTTAAGCAGTGCTTCTAGAACATCGGTCTTTGGTCCTCGTTTCTTCGGTACGGCGTCTGCGCAGCGGACAAGTTAGTACCTGATTGATGATAGCTCAAAGTACATGGTGTAGTCGCGCACCATATATACAGGGGCATTGGAACAGCTGGCATGCTTCACAAGATGGTCGCAGTCTGTTGCATTTAATCTAGAGACGGTGCAATATCAGTGACATGTGCAGCGCATGGCATGCGCGTGAGCGCAGGCTCACCTTTCTTTTGCGACAGGATTTGCAGTTCATAGATTCGCGGGGCTCATTTGTCTGGCGGCGAGGAAGCAGCCTCTCGATGCCGACTTGGGGTCGTGGAATGGCAACCTTGTTGGACCCCGGGAATTGCGAATCGGCCATGGGATTGATGACGGAGAGCATCCGAACCCACAGACGTCAGAGTCCGGCAAAGGGAGAAGAGCCAGACAATGTGAGAGTGATTAAGCAGGCTCGAGTAGTGAAGAGGCCGGGTATGGCGTCACACAATGATTGGCTTGTAGCAGATGAACGAAAGCTGACAAGGGACGAGATCTGCGAGATGGCTTCGAAAGCGAGAGGCCATCTATCACAATTGGCAGTCGCGAAGGTGATGGTGCGAGATTTTGCCCTTTGCTTTTTCCTCCTATGGCATGGCCGCGCCGGCAAAATCCTTGCTTGGCTTGGTAAGGTGATCGAGGTGAATTCCCGACCAGCTCGCGTCGCGATGAGTCGGAGCGTGGCAAGCCGGTAGTTGTTGGAAAGGGTCTGGAGAGGTGAGCGGGTGATGGAATTGAGGCAGACTCGGGAATCTAGCGACAAAGAGGCGGTACTGGGATAAATGTACAAAGTAGCCGCCGCAGGACGAATTGACAAGGTCTAGGTGACGAACTGCCTGCCAGAGCAGCCGGCAAGCCCACGGCGTCGCCTCATCGGCCAGGGCTTGAAGGGGGGGGCGTGGAGCAAGTATTCACAGGTACGGAGTACTGGAGCTAGAGTGACAGAAAGTCAGCGGTGCATAGGTGGCGCTCCGGGTGGGCTAACAGAGAAAGAAGTGCTTTTTACCGGGATCCTCCTATTCTCTTACCATCTATGAGCTAGTTGGTGTCCCGCAGTGCTGTGGAAAGATGGATGAACCATTGCCCAAGTTACTCGATTTCTCCAGAGTCAACGGACTTGGCGAGTTGGGGGTCGGATTGGCCGTGCTTAGTACCTGTCGCTCACTGTGCAGTAGAGGTGTACTGATCAGAGGCGCCTAGGTACTTGCCTACCACGATACTTCTGAACCTCTGCAATGGTAGTACACGGTACTTGCCTGCTATTCTGCAATGGTAGTATACGCGGCTGTCGTGCGGAACTTTACCGTCAATCATCAGAGATTCCTCGATCTTACGTCTGCAACCCTGACTGTATTATACACCCCGCTACTGCATAGGTCGCACACGATAAATACCCTTCTTTTGGGGGGGCTCAGCCACTCTATCTCGCCAACATCGGGGACATCAGTAACACGACGCATACCTACAAGTACCCGGGTGTCTTGGTCAACGAATTGACAGCTCCCTGATTCGAGGCTTGATTTGATTTGGTTTTTGTATCCAAAACGTAACTGCGTCAAAAAAATAAGTAGCTCGTGCGGATGTGGAGAGAAAGAGGGGGGGCTATGCGGAGGTGGCTAGAGAACTGGTAATAGTGGCGGGCGCCAAACAAGTCCATGGGACGACATCTCCATCATGTAATTGCTGCTTTAGGCGGTTTTTTCCTTCTCTCAAGCTTGCGTTCTCGGGACAGTCGGTCGCTCTCCAACAACACCCAATTAAGTATATAATCATGCTCTAATAGTCATTGGCAATGCCAAACCAAAATGCCGAGAGCCCGTCGCAGAACCCCATCATCGTACGCAAGTGGATTCAGTTCCATCTCTACTGGCACGAGCTAATCAGAAGCTAACTTACTGGTAAGCCCTCATTAGCTTCATCGTTGGTGGCCCTCGTCTTGCTTCTGCGTTGGGGATATGCGTGTCTTGAATCTATTCCTATTCCGAAAATCAACCACCTCTTGTTTATCTATCAGACGGCACGTCCTCGCGTTGAATTTGCGACGTACGACGCTGCTGTCGCTCTTGCCGCATGTTGATTTGGGAGCGGTGTGGGTTGAACGGTAGTCTCTCATGAATCTGTGAACCCTCTGCTCAGGATGCTTCTCCAAATTTCTCTCGCTCTGCGTGTCCCCTCATATGCACACTAAAAACTGGTCTTGGGGAAGTGCTATGTATTCAGAGCCCTAGAATTCTCCACAAGCTGCCGTTTCTCAGAAATAACCAAGACAACGATCCAAGTACATCTGACCAGCTATAGCCTCGTGCTTCGGAAACGAATGATGGAAACGCCATAGAATAGGCAATGCCAAGGTGTGCGGAATGGGTCATTTGGCGACAGTGGATCCATGAGTAGGGATTACTGGTCGTCGGAAACGATTCTGGAGTCTGGCCAGCAACAATCCTGGGCAAGCCCACTCTGTCAGCAGCCATCCGCGACACCATGGTTACTCCATGGGGCTGCTTTTAGGGGCACACCGCTGTGTCGCAATCCACTGGAGCGTTCGCGATGCAGCTCCTCGCTTGCGCCTCTCCAAACTCGTCATGTATATTACACGCACGCATGCCTATAATTGTGTGGTTTGTAAGGCGACTGTAATCATACTTGCATGTGTCAAGTCGCTAAATTAAAAAGCTGCCCATGCTCCTAGCGACCAATAGTAACTATGACATTTGGCCGGCCTATCGGAGCAGATCAAGGTTTAGGCATTGTAACTACGAGGCTACATCTCCCCACTGTAGCCCTGCAACTCAGGGCTAGATCCAGCGGTGCAAATTGCTTCGTGTGCTTCGCTCCAGCTGTCGTTATTAATTCCCTCGTAATTAGATTCCGTCATTCTTCGTAATGTCTGTCGCTGCTTTCTGCCCAAGACTTTTATGATTCTTGCAGAATAGATGGAAACCTATCTTAGTATTCCATTGCCTTGCCATGCGGTTCTACGCCAGCAGCGGCACAAGTGGCTGGTGATGGGCTGGTCCGGAACTAGGTGCGCTTGACCGCCCACCAACCATCTAAAGCAATGCAATAACTAAGACCTCATTGTATACCAAGTTACCCAAGTAAGCCGTCATCTCCGTCTTGTCAATCGCTTCTCGCTTCTCGTCCAGAGTTTCACGATTCACTACTGAAAGTGGCTCGCGATGCTCAATACTCCATAGAACTTTCCATTCTGCCAAGTCGTGTTCACATGAATAATGCTCTTTGCACACACCCCTTCTATTATCTACCAGTATTGTCCCATGTATGCAGCCTTGTCGTGCCAGTCAGCGCCCTTCTCAACGGCCCATGCAGGGACTTGACTTGCTGCAGCCCCCAACTTTTTCGTCTCATGTATTTACCAGTAAGGAAGCAATGAAACTAGTTAGGATTACTGACACGTGCGTCGCCATCGCAAGGCAGTCAGCTAGTTACCGCTACATCATAATTATCCTCGGGCGTCAGAAAGCTAAGAGGCTCCTCGGCCTCCCCGTACGGCATCTCTCCCATGCCCACAATGCGGGAGGTCCCGTATTTGGCTCCCAAACTTCTGGAGCCCAGCCACTGCTTGGCGCTCGCATTCTGCATTCGACTTCCTTGTCACGCCTGTCTGAGCCATTTTTAGTCTCGTTTGTTTATTTGGAATGAATGACGCGGTAATAAATACTTTGTCGGTACGTCCGTAACACTGCAGGCGCCAATGGTAGAATTGTGCTTTCACCTTGGCAGCACTTCTAAAAGCCATCCCTAAGACCAAGGTAGATAGATCTAGTATATGTGTAGACAGTAGCGCCTCTAAATATTCACAGTTAATGATCTATACCCAGGATTCAGGGCATGTGCACCCGTCATTGAGTCGCAAGCAGGGCTTGTTAGCTTTGAGATTGGTCCTGATACTTTTGTCCCCCCATTACAAGCTTACCTACTTGGTACTGGTACAGCCTTCTTGTCCTGCCACGCCTGCTAACGAGACGCCCGCCCAGCCTACACTGCGCGCCTCATCAGTCAGCACTATTTGGGCGGCGGAACAAACTGCCGCCACAACTTTCCGCCCATGACCTGGGCAGGGCAGATCTAAAAGTAATGTTTCTTTTGACGTTGAACCCTCAAAGGCATAAATAATCATGTCTGAGGTCATTTGTGTGACCGAAACATAGGAATCAGAACATTACAGTCAGACACGTCCTGGGCATGCTCACGCAGCCATCAGTGGAATAGCATACTTTTAAACAAGTGTCCACGACAAGCATGGGATAACCATGCCCGGCCGTTCCATCCGAACATGGCCGGGTCCGACTCAGTTATAGGGGTACGTCCTTTGTAACAGCAACTCCTTCTACACTGCAGGCTCTTCTAGAAATCTACTATGCACATACACATGTTTGCACTGCACCGTGCCAAGTGTGCGAAGAAGCACTTGCGACAGCGAACCAAAGCCCAAACGCCACTTGAGAATTTCATGAGCATGATTCTTCGTAAAGTGTGGCGTCGCCAGAACACCCGTTGTACCACGCCAGAACCATCCTTGTTCCAGATTCATTTGCCCTGATCCAATGTACTCAGCATCGCCTATAGTCGCAAAAGTTCGACCAGCTAATTACCACTAGCCAGCCTCACGAAGCTGTAGGGTACATTTTGTCCCACGAGCAAACGCAAATTCTCGACCGTCGTAAAGGCCGCACTGTCTGCAGCCCCGTATGCCGCGAAGCCGCTCTTATCGGCAATCTCCGCCGTTTCGATCGCCTGTCGGTCCGCAGTATGTGCCAAGTCTAGAAACACTTTTCTGTTTCTCGTCAATCCAGAGGTCTGGCCATTACCTGCAAACGCGCGCAGAAGTAGTCTCACGATGTTACTTTTGCTAGGTTCCAACGCTGATACCATGACAAAGGGGGCAGCGCTTTCGTTCGCGCCGGATCGTGCTCGCTGTAGGCTCTCGAGACTGTTGAACTGTTCGATGGGCGGTGCGTTGCGTGTGAGTGTCGAGGGCATCTTGAACCCCAAAGTGTATATCTTTGAGAGCTTCAGCGCCTTCATTGCGAAGATGACAGGTGCTGCATCGTCTGATGAGGATGCCAATACCATGGCTGTGCGACCTGCGTATGCCGAGGGCGCAAGATCTCTGGTTAATGCGCTAAGTATTCCTTTCCAGCTCGCATTATCAAACACCAGTGTGGTCGTCTGATTTGATATGTTCTGATTAGGGGCCACGACACCATCTGATTGCCGACTAGGGCTTGCAGGCATCGACGGCGGTCCGGAGCTTGGATGAGACGATGAGCCTACCCTCACCATGATTGTGTCGACTGTCCCAATAACGCGTGCAGCTTCACTCACGATTGGCCCGTCTCCATTGTTGGCTGCTTGAAGCCTGGGGTTCTGCTTCATAAGGTTGGAGTACGAGAGGCCTGGATCAAGGTACGCTCCGCCAAAAGATTCCTGGCCAAATAACATTTCCAGTCCAGCTGGGCTGTTTGTCTGACGTTCTATAACAGCAAATTGGTGTGGAAGTCCTAGTTCGTTGAAACACTTTTCATAAAATGGCGCCCTGTGTCCCTTGACACGAGATTCCACGCTGGTAATACCGTAAAAGGCCTTTCTGGGCAGGCTACCCATGTGCGACAGAGCAGAGTTGATCTCTGCGGCGCTCAGTTGGCCCGGTGCAGCAATCAGCGGCAATAGCGGGTGTGTAATTGGTGTGAAAGTTTTGTTGAGCGAACGAGTTATCTGCCCTACTTGACGCATATTGACGGCGGACAAAGGCGGTGCGTGCGGATACTCAGCCTTGACTTTTGAGCGAAAGCATTCAAGTTCGAAGTTTTCCGTGTGGTCATTTATAATCGCAATCATCTTGATGATATGCGCATAGTTGATTGAGCGTTCAAATACTTCCTGGGCATATGCTGATGGCCATTTGAAAGTTCCAGAAAAGTCGTGGAAAGCTGACATGATGCGTGAGTTGCCCTTTCTCTGCCAAAGATCCTGTCTGATTACTTCTGGCAGCCAAAGTTCGACATCTATGTATTCCACGCCCCATTGAATGGCTCGGTACAGATATTCGCGGTACAGCTCTGGCTTGTCCATGGGAAATTTGCCATTCTCGTTGGTACAGCGCGTTGTGAAAATTATGGGCAATTCTGTCCGCTGACGTAGCAACATAACTTGCTCTCCAACGTACTTCAAGCTCGGAATATCGGCAAATGTGCCATCGGCCAATGGTTCCCGTAGCAGATCAACACGCAGTTCAACGGCGTCGGATCCCACTGTGAGGATGTCGAGGTTTGGAAGGGCAGCTCTAACGTCCGGAAAGGTCGTGGAGAGAAACAAAGTTCTCGGCTTGGACATAAGTTCGCTGTGGTGGTTTATCTGACCGAGAATAAAGGCGGTGAATCGGCAAAGGTCTCGGCGCAGGTCCAGAGTGTCAGAGTAGAGAAATTCATAATCGCAATGTTCCGAAAGGTGCAAGTCCGGTGGCATGCCGAGGCTGACCAAGTGAGCATTGATTGCAACAACCAGCGAATTATCTCTTGCAGCAATATCATTGCGCGCAACGTCTGCAGGAATGCCAATGACGGAGTCGTGGTCAGCTGTCGTGACGTCGCTGAAGCTAGATTTCAGTCTCGACGGTTTGCCAAGAACTTCTCCAAATAGGGAAACAATTGGCTCTTGTCCTTTTCCGTAGATAATGACAACGATCCGGGAGTCTCCCACTTGCAGAGAATCTCCGAAGAAGCTACTGTCAATCACGAGTGGGCTTTGACTGGCGCGCTCTCCGTTGTCAACGTCCATTCGAGAAGACGCAGAGTTGTCTGCAAAGCCAGTTTTCGGTCCTGGGCTCGGTGAAGGGTTCGTGAGGAGTTGGTGCACAGCAGCCATACCGCTGTGTGGTGTAGCTCGGCAATGCCGACGCCTATGGACCTTGAATAGCTGATAGGACAGCAGCTTGGTGAGGCTGTCTCGTCAGTGTTGCTGTTGCCGGGCTTGAACAATTATAAGCAGACCATCCGAATGTTTTCGGCTTGCTCCAATCCGGGATGGAGGAGCGCTGATGACACGGAGCGTTCAAAATAAGAATCGCCTCGCGAGATGAGTGAGATTGGATATTGCAACGTGAGCTCGGCTCACCGCACTATCAGAGGGAGTTGACGCTTCCCCAGGAGACTTCCAGCACCGCTTTTGGTCTATAGGGCACGTGAAAAGTATCGTATGTGGAATCTGTAGAAATGGGAGGGAGCAACCTCGTCGTGATGAGGCGTTGTGTATGGGCGAGTGCGCCTAGCTGACAGCTACGGCATTCCCGCGCAAAGATAGGTAGAGACACGACGCGGCACGGCAGGAGAGCCACCGAGGTGATGGACTCGACCGCCAAAATCAGTAAATCCAAGGGCAAGATATAGGAATAACCGATTTGGTATGCAGGCGACGTAAAAACGAATCATCAGCAATCGTGGATTATGTTGCTTCTCGGGGTAGTGGGGTTTGGATTGGGGTTGGAGGCAAGTCGCGGGGACTCGCTCCCCAGTCCACTGTCAACCAGAAGTCACTGTACAGCCCACTGTAGGTAGGTAGGTACCTTAGGTACCTGTCTGCCAGGCGAACAGCGTCAGCAAACAGTGGCTAGCAATGTACTGGCTTCAGCGCCAGCGCCAGCGCCAACAGCGAGTTCCAAGGGAAGCAAGGAAGCACCTGTCGCGACCAGTCGATTCCACTGGGGGGGGAAGGAGCCACGGGAGCCCCATCACCAACAAAGCTTTGTGGCTGGTCTGCCGCACTTTGATTCTCCACCAATGACAGCCCTTGCAATGACGGCTTTTGAACCTGCAACTGGTCGCTCTCCGCCTCTCTTGCCACCTTGCCAGCTTTGCAACCTTTCAAGAGTCATTTCATCGTATACCTCGTTCCTTCTGAAGCCGTCAATACTCAATTGCCCGATTGAGCAACGTTGGCCGCTTGGGTTCTGCACCCACCCGTTCTAAATATCGGTCCCGCTCCTCTTCTGCTCAATCAGGCTACGAACTACGGCATCTCAGCAGGGATTGCGTGTGTGACGTGTATATTCTCTTTTGTTCCATCTGGCTTCGGGTCTGGCGGCTTCTTCTTTTTTTTTTTTCTTCTTTTTTTTTTTTCCTTTTAATGCTTCGCCATTTCCGATCATAGGGCGTTGCTAGCTACCACTGATGCTGCAAAGTGTGGACTTTGAAGTATTTCCACCTCTCCAAACAGGTCATGCACCATTCCAATCCCGCATTGATAATCTCCACACTCCGCTGTTCGTTCAACTGAGCATTCTCTCATGGCTCAATTTCCACGAATCAGGTCCCCGACTCCCCAGACTTGAGATGACGTCGGTGAAGGCAAGTTGACCAGGCCTTCGGGTAGCGAGATAGCAGCTCGGCGCGACCCCGTGATCAACCCATCAGGAACTGCCTGGATCCGGGTGCATGGCCCAGTAGTGATAAAATGGACGGCAAGATGCGGCAATGCTGACACAAAGATACGAAGCTAGAATGAAACGCCGCATGCCAAACATGAGGCGCGTCAGGAAGAAAAGCATCGATATCTTCAAGCCAGAGTCATGAGACTGACATAAGTCGACCAGCCTGCTACCTGGATCTGGGAGCGGGTTTACACTAGTACTGTCAGCACGAGCCGATGGAACATAGCGGGCTGAAAGCGCGTTCATCGTCTCATGTACCCGTCTCTGCTGGGATCCAGGTTCGCGCGCTACGTTTCCATCGTGTCATTGTTGGCCAACGCATGTGCTGCATGGCCGACGATGTGACCAAGTTATTTGCTCTGTATTTTGGCAGTCAGCTCGTGAACATTTTTGGGCCTGAGCAAAGTATAAACCACACCGGGTCAAACAACATAGTCGTATGCTCACAGGCCTCAGGGCCCAACCGCTCGTATGCGCGCACAGGTTCGTAACATCGTCAACCAAAACCCGAGGGCGTAGAATGTCCACAGCCCAAGTCGTGAAGCACTGGAAAGCTGCGGCAGCGGTGTCGGCACCCTGGTGCGGTGACGAAAGGCCAACTAGATGAAAGCGATGGGTGCTGCAACGCACATCGGAAAACTGCAAACAATGTAGGGTAGGCGCTCATTTTAGCACCACCACGAAAAACGCGATGAGCACCCACGCGTCATATCTACAAAGAGTAGTGTACCGGGACGAGCCCCTTTCGCAAAAGCTGGCGATATCAACAATAAAGCAAGCATGAACTGGTAATTTCAGAAGCCACCTGCCAACGGTGGCTCTCGGCAGCCGGGCTATACTCGATGTGTAAATATGAGGTTGACATATACGAAGAGCAGAGTGTCTTTGGAAGACGCCTGCAGACAATTAGGTGTGCAATACGCGTCCAATCACTGTCAAATATGCTCGAGGGAATCATTCCGTCAGGGTCTGGAATTGCAGGCCTGGTCGCTAGAAATCGCAACCGCCAAAGAGAAACGCCCAGCCCTTGCACTGCCCATAATACTGTCAAACTTTTCCCCTCGGCATGCCCTTTCGGACGATGGCTGCGCAAGTAAAAATACTTCTTCCTAGCAACTTGGCAACACGAAAAAGAGTGACCCTCATCGTCGGCTTACACCACCATATCACCCGATTCAACAGAAAGAAAGGCTTGCTATGATTCAAAGCTCTACATATAAAAAGTACGTGGCGCGGAATCATCGTGCCGTCTATATCTTTGACGCTTTTGCGCGCGTGAACCTTGGCTTGACCGGAATCTTGGGGTGGTCTCCCTCCAATTCCATGCCGGTTATCTTTTCCAATTCATCCACAGCTTCATAGGCCCTGCCAAGATTTACTTTGATAGTTCGAAAACCTGCCTTTTTGGCAGCCTTGAGATTCTCTCCAATGTCATCTAGAAAGAGAATATCGGCCGCCTGAATGCCCGATTCCCATCCTAGGTTGCGATTCCTGGGCAAATTGGCGTTGTCTCGGGCAAATTCATCGAGCTTTTTCGTGGCAAGCTTGTAAATGGCGGGTTCTGGCTTGCGATGGCCAACATGTGCGGAAGAGATGAAGACGTCGAATAGTCCTCTCAGTGGGCCGGAGAAGAAGTCGGCTTGGTGAAGCTTGTGACCGGGCGGGAAGATGACGGTGTTACTGAGAGCGGCGATAATGTACTTATTCTTCGCCTTGAGTGCTTGCAAGGCGGGAAACATCCATGGATCTTGTTTCATTGATGAAGTCATCATTTCGTTAAAGAGCCACTCGGCGTCAAGCTTAGGCAGCGGAGGAGTGACGTCTTCGAGTTTGGGGTTCTTTGCCTTTTCTTGCTGGTAGAAATATTCCCACAATGACTGATTGTGCAAATCGCGACTGAATCCCTCGAAAAAAGCCGCATCCATCAGAATATCGCCCCGCTCAAGACGGTGCCAGAAGCCGTTGGGCGCTGACTTGGAGATCGAATAATTGATCCATCCCGGAGGAATGCCGAGACTCAATTCATGGTCTAAGATTGCTTGGAAAGGAGAAACCACCTAGACAAAAGCGTTAGAGAGCCCAATACTGTTACCCGGTGAATCATGTTTAGATCGGAACAGCGACATACACAAACACCGCCAATGTCAAACAGAATGACCTTGGGCTGCTGAGGCCCGTATAGCTCACCGTCAATGGCCTCAATGATGAGGTCTGCGAGTGGCTCATCACCAGGTCCGGACATTATGACGGAGACAATCGTGTGTACTGCTGTAATTGAACCCGCGTTCTGCTGGAAGTGCAGCTGCAATTCTTAATCGTCGAGTTGGACTGACAAGACATTTAGAGATTTGCCCCGGTAAAACACGCCTTGCCTCGGCAGGACCCCCATACCTGCCGAAATCAGCGTTGGAGCTCCGGCCGCGCGGGAGTCCGGAGCCCCACATTGGATGTCTCAATGCACGTGACTCGTGCTGCAATTTTGGTCTCAGATTCCACCTCGTCACCAACCACGGTTTCTCGTAGTGGGTCGCACAATTGGCAGGGTGCATTCGCTTAGGGCTTGAATTTATCCCCCACCAAAATTTTGTTGATCGCATTTCCTATCAGGAACTCGCATCAACACCAACCAGACGAAGTCCAGTGTTGACCACCAATACGTCAAAATGGTAAGTTAGGCCTATCTCCCGGGTTCTCAGTGTTGATGAGAACCTGCGGTTCCAATTCGATTGTTTGTTCATCATGGTCGCCTGGCAGAAACGCCAATGGCCATGTATTTGCTCGAGATGAAGAGTCACCGCAAGTTGCTTCGGATGGAGGACGAGCAAGTCTGAAGCGCAAATTGCTGACTCGGGGGTCATGAACATTAGGGTTTCAACAAGATGATCAAGAGTAGTGCCTACTACAGGTAAGCCCGGCAAATATATCAACCTCAGTTCTGGAATTAATGTGCTAACTCAATCGCAGCCGCTACCAAACCAAGTTCAAGCGCCGTCGTCAAGGCAAGACCGACTACTACGCTCGCAAGCGCCTTATCACCCAGGCCAAGAACAAGTACAATGCTCCCAAGTACCGCCTGGTCGTCCGCTTCACCAACAAGGACATCATCATGCAGCTGGTGACATCTGAGATCTCCGGCGACAAGGTCTTCTGCGCCGCCTATGCCCACGAGCTCAAGGCCTACGGCATCGAGCACGGCCTTACCAACTGGGCTGCTGCCTACGCCACGGGTCTCCTGATTGCCCGCCGTGCCCTCAAGAAGCTCGGCCTCGAGGAGGACTTTGTCGGTGTTGAGGAGGCTGACGGTGAGTTCACCCTCACCGAGGCCGCCGAGACCGACGACGGTGAGCGCCGCCCCTTCAAGGCCTTCCTCGATGTTGGTCTTGCCCGCACTTCCACCGGTGCCCGTGTCTTTGGTGCCCTCAAGGGTGCTTCGGACGGCGGCATCCTGGTCCCCCACTCCGAGAAGCGCTTCCCGGGTTACGACATTGAGACCAAAGAGCTCGATGCCGACGTTCTCCGCAACTACATCTACGGTGGCCATGTTGCCGAGTACATGGAGACTCTGGCCGACGACGATGAGGAGCGTTACCGCAGCCAGTTCGCCAAGTACATCGAGGACGATATCGAGGCCGAGTCCCTCGAGGAGCTGTACGCTGATGCCCACAAGGCCATCCGCGAGGACCCCTTCAAGAAGGTTGAGAGTGCCGGTCCCAAGAAGACCAAGGAGGAGTGGAAGGCTATCTCTCTTAAGTACAAGACCAAGCGTCTGACCAAGGCCGAGAAGCAGGCCAACGTGCAGAAGAAGATTGCTCAGCTCCTTCAGGAGGAGTAAAAAGTTGTCATAGATATGACTTTCTGGTAATGTTTGGTTCTGGAGTTTTCAGGGGGGCTGTGATGAATAAAAATACCACGACGCTTTCCATGATTTTGTTTTTACCAAGTGTTCACTCTAAATCTGTGACGTACCAGGTGTTTGTGATGGAGTGAGTTTGAAATAAGCCAATGACCACAAAACGAAGGGCCACAGCAGGTTTGCAATGGGGAACGGTTGTATTGGGAGCGGATGCCTGTGCGTCATGGCTGCACCAAAACCTGAACAAGCATGTAGTCGAAGTCAACGGCGAAGGAGTTAGTTGTAGTGACGGAGCCAATTTGGGCTCGAGGGCTGATTATCAGTACCTAGGCGGACGAGAGGAGAGTGAGGGGCTGCAAACATTGAAGAGGCTTGGTCCCATTCTCCCCGGACTGGCGCTTCTTCAGCGGGCCGAGTCTTGTGGCTGTAGTCGGTCACTGGCGGGATAGTATGGTCCCCTACCTATTTAGGGTTTCAGGTTTGTGGCAGGTCTAGAACTTGGTGGCTGCCGCTGCGTGGTTTTTGTCAGCCTTTGTCCATGATACCACCCGGACTTGTTGCGTTATCAAAGGCGCCACTGGGATTGGAGGGAGTGAAGTCGTCGGCCGGCACATCGAAATCGTAGATGCTGCCGAATAGAGCAGCGCAACAGGAGCTGTAGCAGGTCAGATGTGGTGAAACGTTTGTGAAGACCTATCACTTGGGGCGCAGGTAATGTTTATTTGAAATATATCAGACAAATTGGTATTAATAATTGATTGTTTGTGGCTGCACAAATGGGATCATCACTCCTACACTGAGTGAGCATACCAGTTCAGAAGTGGCTGCACTAGCTGAGCAACTGAGGATGGACAGAGGTACCAGTGCTACAGCCGACGGATCGCTGAGCTTGCAGGTAGCAATCCAGAGTGGCTGCAACGCTCAATCTCCTTCACCAAACAGACCAAACATTACAAGGCGCAAAAGTGGGCTCCCTGAAGTGGCGTAGCAGATCCAGTAACTGGGAGCTAATTACCACCTTGGAACCACCCAGAGCCCGCTGAAATTTGGCTGCTCTGGCGCTAAGTTGATGGCTTTACAGGGCACATCTCCCAGCTTTGCCACCCGTTGATTATAAGCCTTGCTCCCCACGATTGGCTTTTGCTGCCGTGCCACCTGTGCTAGAGTTGCAATTTGCCCGCTCGCACCAGGCGGAGAACGACTTCTTACTGTTGGCTTTGTGTTGAGATCAAGCGCATTGTACTACTTTACAGGATACAGAGCTCTTGCTTTGATGCTATCAGACTGCCTGTCATCTCGAGACGTCCGCCATCGCTCGACTCGCCTTCTTGAGCCAATCCTCCTCTTTCGTCATCGCTCGCCGAGTCGTCTTTGATCCCGCTCGTTCATGGGACAATAACATCTTTATACGGGCGACAACGCAACGGCTCGAGACGTGCTGATTGCCGTCTCTGTACTACATACATAGGAGTCCTGCTCTGCGTCTTACGGTTACCATGGAGCAGGTTCATGGTGTCGACGTCAGCTGGATGACTCCAGGGTCCTCCAAAGGCATGTCTACAACCTCTTCTGCGCGCCCGCTCAACTCGCTCCCAGGGCGATTCTCGACATTCGTCACTACGACTTGGATCAATCGCCGCCGAACTGCTCTCTGCAACGATTGCGCTAACCTCCTATCTACAGACAAACTCAATAAATCCTCGCCGCCGAAGGCCACCACCACGCAACCGCGCCAAATACCAACAGCATCGAACGGCACACCGTCACATCAAACAAATGATTCCAAGTCTGGAGTCGAGGCCAATGGCCAGCTCAGTACATCTTTGAATGGTGGCTCTAGCATAACCAAACGCCTGTCGAGATCTGGCTCTGTTGATAAGCAACTCGGCCCTAACGGAACGCCGCCTGGACGTCGCAACACCTGGTTCTCCAATATCTCTGCCAAATTCTCGAGCTCATCCCCTTCCGCAAACGGCCCCCAGTTACCAACGGAACCAACGCCATCTCATCATCACACAGGTCTGCTGCAACGAAGTACGTCGCACGAGGACCAACCTCCATCACCACAAGCATCTGATCCTCCCGTACCGAAAATCTCGCCCTCTAGAAACGCCGTCCTGCAACATGGCGCCAAGCCCGAGGGTAGTGGTCCTTATACACCTGCACCGCCCAGGTCAGGTCAAGCCGGCATTCTCAGTGTTTTCCGTCGCCTGTCGTCATCTTCCTCTGTCAATGGCGCAACCCACAATCGTCTTGCACACGGCCTTGTTCAACGCACAGTACTCAACAAAGACAAGCACAGAGAACGGTGTCCTATCGGTGAGCTCAAGGCGGCCAAACTACGCCGCGTCGCGTTTTGCGTCGACGTAGAAATCGCGCCGATGCCCAAGTACGCAGATGGCGAAGTTCCTACACAACCAATCGACAAGACATTGAAGAAGAAAATTGGTGAAAGGGGTGAAGGCGAAGCTTTGAAAAGCGATAGCGCTGTCATGAAAGAAGAAAATCTCGACGACGGCAAGTCAACACAAGCGTCAGAGGTCAAGGCCAGCGGTCCCGCAAAGGGCGCTGGCGAGGAGACTGGAGCCATGGCAAACAATGCCATTGATGAAAAGTCAAGCGGTGAAAACGACAGCGCAGAAGCGGATACTCCAGCAGCTGAGAAGGAGCCATCCAGGAAAAAGGAAAAGAAGAAGCGCAGCGAAGAAGAGCGCAAGGCGCGGAAAGAAAAGCGCAGGAAGCTGGCTGAAGACAATGGCTCAATTCCAGTCGAAATTCATTATGACAGCAGTGATTCGCTCGGTTCGACAAGCTCGGGCACACCTAACACGAGCTCTCTACCGACTATAAACCCAGCCAGAATATACAGAAGGTGTTGCCAGCTCCGAGAGACGCCCATCCTGAAGAAAATCACGGAACAGCTCACAGACCCGTTCAACTTTTCGCTCGGAGTGCTTAGCAAGCTGGATCTGACAGGCTACTGGCTACAGCTGGCCGATTTAGTGACACTTGGCGACTATCTTGCTGTTGTACCTGTCCGAGAAGTTTTGCTCGAGAACATTGGTTTGACGGATGAAGGCCTGCGAGTCATTTTGGCTGGCCTCTTGGCCGCCAAACCACCCACCTTGAGTCGCAGAAAGCCAAAGCACGAACAAGAGCCTCAAGGCGGCGTAGTTGAGCGTCTTGTCTTGAAAAACAACAAGCTTGGTCCGGACGGTTGGAAGCATTTGTCCTTGTTCATATACCTCTGCAAATCAATCAAAAGTCTCGACCTCGCTCACATACCCTTTCCGCGCCAGGCACTCTCTCAAGTAGGCGCCACACTGCCCAACGGCCAGCACATCCCCCGCAGCATCGCCGGCATCTTTGCCACGTCGCTTGGTGATCGACTTGCTGGTCCAACCTTGGAAATGATCAACATGGGCGAAACGGAGCCTAGCATGGAGCAGCTCGGCGTCATACTCGACGGCATGATGAAGTGCAAAGTGAAGCGGCTCGGCCTGGCGCACAATTACTTGGATGAGCAAGGCATCATGCATGTGACGAGATACATTTCGTCGGGTATCGTTGAAGGTCTTGACTTGGCTGGCAATGACCTCCGGGGTCACGAAGAAAGGATTGCGTCGGCACTGGAAGCGAATGTTAGTCTTTGGGCTCTCAGCCTCGCGGGCTGCGAACTTGGGCCGTCTTCTCTCTCCAAGATCTTGCCGGTTATGGCGAGCATACCAGATCTTCGGTTCGTCGATCTTTCACATAACAGAGAACTGTTCCAAACGCGGCCCAGCGCTGTGGGTCTTCTAAGAAGGTAAGTTCGAATACCCATTCCACTTCAACCATGATACTAATCGATTTGAAGATATCTACCTAAATGCTCCGGGCTAAAACGTATTCACTTGTCCGATGTCAGCATGAATCCGGAGCAAGCCATTGCTTTGGTGGAGGTGCTTCCGGAAATTCAACAACTGGCACACATCAAGCTACTGGAAAATGAGGAACTCGTCAAGCTGGCACATGCCAAGAGTGAAGAAGCTCAAGAGGAAGCTTGCGCACTTTATGCTTCACTCATGGCGGCAGCTCGAGTCTCCAAGAGCATAATCGCCATCGATATTGACGTTCCTCATGATGAAGCGGGCGAAATCGTCAAGGCCATGGCGAAGCAGGTTGTTGCATACTGTCTGCGCAACATGGAGCGGATACCGGATACGGGTATTGGTGCTGCTATGGCGGCAACTTTGTCAGAGACTAATGGGACTGACGAGTCCAAGCCTGCTGTTTATTCTGACGTGATTATGCATCTTGTTGGCCACGACGTGATGCAAGAAAGCGACGAGGAAGACAACACCTCCGCTCCCGATGAAGACTACGTGATTGGAGGCACCGGGGTCGTCAAAGCACTCAAGTGCTGCCTCGAGAATCGTGGAGACGAGTCGCAGCGCCAGTCCGGGGAATATATCCGCGAAGCAGAACCTGACGCGTCTCTTGCAACTCGCAAGCTCCCAACAGGTGGCAAGGCAAAGGACATGTCGAAGCATCTGCTTGCGGGCGCACGCAAGATTCGGCTGCGCTTACAGCCTGCGCTTATCAAGGCTAAAGCGAACCCAGACGACGAGATGACCCTGAGAAAGCTCACTTTCCTGGATGAAACGCTGCAGGGCATCATCAAACGATTCGAAGACGAATACCCTGACACACGAGAGGTGGTCGAGCTCAGTATAACCGATCCGAAGCGCGACAGAAGCGGCTCTGCAGAGACGGTCAACAGCCCCGCCGTTGCCGAAGAAGCAGTAGTCTCGGACGGCGAAGATGACGGCGAGATACGCGCGCAGCGGCTGTCCCGCAGCAACTCGACGTTATCCAAGGTGCTAGCTGAGGAGGAGGGTCGTGTGCACCGGGCGGGCCACCGGTTCCGGGTGGGCATAGTGTCGCAGATGCAGATGAGGGACCTGATGGCCACGATTGACGACATTGGCGCAGATCCGCGACACGTACGTATGCTGACGGAACTGGCCGAGGACGTGGGCGGCGGCTTCTGGGACGAGGTGCAGACCAAGGGCGTCATTCAGGCCTACAAGGACAATCGCGAGTCATTGCTGACGACGATGAAGCGTAACGACCCCGACGGCGCTCATTGGGAGCGCTTCGTCGAGTCGCAGAAAAAGGCCCTCGCCAACCGCACCGTGCCCAGCGAGCAGGAGAAGTCGCTTCGTGAAGCGGCGCGGGCCGCCGACGAGAGTGCGATTGCCGACTAATAATGTGGTGGTGCTTTTGGAGAATGGCAGCCGCCATTGTATTCGACACATTGTTGTATTGCAATGCCATTATTATCGTTTTTCTTTTCATTTATTTTTCGTTCAAGCAAGCAAGTACAGACGTACTACCTGTATTCCACTTGACAACTATCATTTATTATATGGATTTGTCTGGCGTCATGGATGGGGCGAGGGGCAAGTGGGATGCGCCGCGGGGGAATTGGGACGCGGAAGGTTATATTCACATGATTCACATGATTCGCATGTAATACTTGTTTTTTTCAACGCCCAATTACATAATTATCATAATCAAAGCAAGCACGCCAGACCCGAAGCAAGCCTCGACCTATCTCACAACCACCTCGTATTCGCATACTGGCCATCTTTCCCAACCTGCCAACTACTAGGTAGTTTGAAAGGTAACACCGTAGTTGGGCTGAAGACGGGTAAAATAGGCGGCGAACACCCCCCACCGCCAGCCAGACCACGCGCGTTTCTGAAACGGAATGCATTTTTTCTTGCTCCATCCATCCGATTCATACAAAAAGCCGCCCCAGACCCGCCGAAAAAGTCAGGCCATGCACGCTCAATGGCGTTGAGCGCCGTGGCTGGCAACGTCTGGCGAGCGCACCACTCCCCCCCGCATCTCACGCCATCTCCTTGGGGCCGGGGCCAACCAAGGCACTTTTACGTGTTGCGTCAAAGAGGATTCGTAAGATGACACACGGCTTGCAGTGTTGCTTTTTAATCAGTTTTTTTTTTTCATTTAGATTTAGTCTTCTTGTTGGATTTCCCGGTACCTCTCTCCTTCTTTTATAACTTTGTTGCCTGTTTTCTTTTTATCTTTTGTTTTTTAATTTAGATTAAAGCTGGGTTGCAACAAAAACAACTTCTCATATAAGTCGACAAACACCACAATCTGACAACCTGACAATCTGACAACCTGGCTCATCTATAACTCTACTCGCCAACTCTTCTTCGACACGATACAATCTGCACAAACTACAATTACAATCTACTTTCATCAACCTTCTTGCGGTTCAAATAGAGGGCCACGAACACGGACACACACACACACACACACACACACACACACACACAACAA